TCAAAAATTTATTACAGAAACAAGTGCCTGTGCTACCCACAGTCGCCATTTTCACGTGTAAGCAAAATAATTCTTCACTTTCCGAGGTTCAAGGACCCATGATTCAAGTGAATTTGTTGGTATCAAAAACTGATGACATATCTATATCGTGGAAATATACCAGGGTATATGATTAAGGAAATCATTTCTCCGATGATATTGATGGCATGGAAAGTCATGGCCGTAGGAACCGGGGGGGGGGGGGCATGGGGGGGCCGTGCCCCCAATAATTTTGCCGATATATAGATTACTATAGAAAACATAGATACTATATGCTTGTGCCCCCTCAATAAAAACGTCTGATGAGCTTCTTTTTTTTTTTCTTGTCAAGAAATTTTGGTAGTTGATAGTGCCCCCTCAACTGAAAATGTATGGCTGTGCCCCCCCCCCCCCAACTGAAATTGCTTCCTACGGGCCTGAAAGTAAAATCAATGTAATGCTGCTTTTGCAAGAGTGCCAAATGTTGCGTTTTACAAATTTATTTATTTCAATTTTCAACGTATATTTATTTGCTCATTTTAATACGACAACAGTTTTTTCCTTTATATGCATACACATGTAAATTATTTTTTGGATTTTTTTTTGGGGGGGGGGGAGGGGGCTCCACGCCCCCTCTAAATCCGCCAGTGGATCCCAGATTTAAAAAGAAAAAATAGAAAAAAAGGAGGGTGGTGGGGTCCATACCCCAAGCGCCTGTGGATACAATGGATTTCAACCACGCATGTATACTGGAATTTTACACATCGAAATAAATGGTGAAAAAGGCATTGGTTTAGATTTTATTTTGGCAATATCCCTTGCTAGGAAAAACTTAAAACTTTTCATGTAAGCGGTCCAATATCTCATCCACAGGTCCACTATCTCAATCGGCGGTCAAACATCGATTTTTTATTATCGCTCAGTAAAACATCATTGTATAGATTTATATAGGAACTAATTTTTAAAGGTATATATAACAATAATATACTTAATACAGATTCAAAATGTATTGCATCCCATCATATGAAATGGTCAAAACAATTATATGAGGCTTTTTACTCCACCTTGATGAAGAAGTAAGGGAAAAAGTAGGAGTAACCTATTCAAAATAGTAGGAAAAAAGTAGGAATTTTTACAGACAATGAAGGCGTTCTTATTTAATGGAAATCTAATCTTATGACTGTATAACGACTTCGGACTTTGCATCTTTGAGGTGTAGCTAAGGAGTGCTCAATCAGTCTATTAATACGGAAACAATTAAAGGCAGAGGTTTTATGGGCCACCTTGAGGTCCCCAGTAGGTGATGCTCCCGTGGTTGGAGTCGAGGGGGGGGGGGGGGGCGAAGCCTCTGAAAGCTGGCAAATTTTCAGCATTTCCAATATCTAAAATGAGTGCTCAAGAAAGGAGAGTAAATTTCAGCAAATCAAATGACCATAACATAGGAATGGACTCTCCTGGTTAATGATGTGCTTTCTATCTTATGCCCTTACGAAATAATTTAATTGTAAAATGAATTTTGTAACATATATAATGTATTTAAATTAAATAATTTGTATTATACAATTTCCTAGCTGCAGAACTGTAGCTCTCCAAAAAAAGAAAAAAAAGAAAAAAAAAGACAAATCGGTCAGTCAATTTTTTTTTCAGAGAGCTACATTTCTGCAACTAACAATTCCCCTTAAGTTTTCTTTTTACTTTGAGCACACCTTATGCATTCATAAAGTAGTTCAGTAAACTGGGAATCTCATCCATATTATGTGTTTATACTTTTAAAATCATTGTAGAATTATAGACTTTTGCACTTGCTACACCTAGCTACCACCTTGAATACTCTTTAAACAAGAGGCCCAAGGGCCTTAACGGTCACCTGAGTATAATACAACAATTTAGAAGTTAAATACACTGACAGATGAAGCTTTGTTGCCCTAAAGTAAGAGAAGTACGAAGATCAGGATCAACAAAATAATTAGTCTAGTATTCAGTATCAACTCATAAATTAAGTTCTAATCTGTCCTCCACTTAACACTATCACATGCAGACTATTAACAAACTATTAGTGCTTCTGTACTATTTTTAAACCCATATTAAGACCTCTAGCATTGACCTCTCTTATGGTCTTTGAAGAACTTTTAATAAGATAAGTTATTTTTGTCTCATTTTTATTTATCTATTACTTACAGGTCTACCTGATTATTAAAACTAAGAAAATACTTTTTGAATTATATGATAAACATTCTTGCATAATTATCTATTCTATTAACCTTCCAAATGTATTATTTACAGTGATTAATTATCAAAGGTGAATGGAAAAGGGGAATAACTTCTCTCAGTAAAATGCAAATTAATAGAGCCCTGCCCAGGACTAGAATGCTTAGACAAATGGTCCAGATGTTCAAAAATCTGGTAGAAATATGCTTACTTATATCATTTAAACTTTTACTCAGTTTTCTTCCGATATGCCCAGAAGCAGAGAAGAATTTCACAGGTACAATGCATTTTCACTAAAGATTCAACAAAGCCTTACCCTAACACCAGAACCCAAGACCAAGGGTCAAGAAATTTACAAATTTGGAAGAGTTACCCTCATCATCATAACTATGGACTTTAAAGAATTAACACTTTTCCACTATATTATCAAAAGCCCCCCCCCCCCCCCCCCTAGTTATGCCAAAACCCCTGACCCTAGGACAACAAGATTTAAAAATTCTGTTTGAAGCTCCCATTTTCATCATAGCTAAGCAATTTATTTATCAGCTCATCACCAAGGAGCAGACAGGATTAATTAATGATTAATTAATAGAATTAATGCTTTTTCACTATATAATCAATAGAGCCCCCCCCCCCCCTCCTCAAGAACCCCAAAAACTGAGGCCATATATTTAAAAATTTTGGAAGAGGCATCCTTGCCTATCATAATCATGCATTTAGTTTGTTTAAATAATCTCCAGTAGCAGAGAAGAAGATTTTCAAAGAATCAATGCATTTTCACTAGTATATAATCAATAGAGCCCTGCCCTAACACCAGAACCCCTGACCCTGGGGCCATGAAATTCACAATTTTTTAAAAGGCATCCTTATGCATCATAACCATGCACTTAGTTTGTTTAAATAATACCCAGGAGCAGAGAAGAAGATTTTCAAAGAATTAATGCATTTACACTATATAATCAATAGAGCCCCGCCCTAACACCAGAACCCCTGACCCAGGGGCCATGGCTTTCACAATTCTGGAAGAGGCCCACCTCCTCATCATAACTATGTACTTAGTTTATCACCTTAATGCCCAGGAGCAGAGGAGAAGATTTTCAGAGAATTAATGCATTTTCACTATATAGTCATTAGAGCCCCGCCCTAACACCAGAACTCCTGACCCTGGGGCCATGAAATTCACAATTTTGGAAGAGGTACTCTTGCTCATCATAACTATGTACTTAGTTACTTTATTAAATATCCAGGAGCAGAGAAGAAGATTTTCAAACAATTAATGCATTTTCACTACATAATCAATAGAGCCCCGCCCTTACACCAGAACCCCTGACCCTGGGGCCATGAAATTCACAATTTTTTAAAAGGCACTTTTGCTCATCATAGCTATATACTTAGTTACTTTATTTAATTCCCAGGAGCAGAGAAGAAGATTTTCAAAGAATTAATGCTTTTTCACTATATAATCTATAGAGCCCCGCCCTAACACCAGAACCCCTGACCCTGGGGCCATGAATTTCACAATTTTGGAAGAGGCACTCTTGCTCATCATAACTATGTACTTAGTTACTTTATTTAATGCCCAGAAGCAGAGAAGAAGATTTTCAAACAATTATTTATTTTCACTATATAATCAATAGAGCCCCGCCCTAACACCAGAACCCCTGACCCTGGGGCCATGAATTTCAAAATTTTGGAAGAGGCAGTCTTGCTCTTCATAACTATGTACTTAGTTACTTTATTTAATACCCAGGAGCAGAGAAGAAGATTTTCAAAGAAGTAATGCACTTTCACTATATGATCTATATTGCCCCACCCTGGGGCCAGAACCCCTGACCCTGGGGCCATGAATTTCACAATTTTGGTAGAGGCCTCAATGCTTATTACAATGATGCCAACAGTTAGACTGCTTGATGTCCAGGAGTAAAGAAGAAGATTTTTAAAGATTGCATTATTTTTGGTGGTTTTAGCCCCACCCCTCAGGCCCCAGGGAGGCAGGGACCATGAAATTCACAATTTTTGTTCCCCTTCACCCATAGATGCTATATGCCAAAATTGGTTGAAACTGGTTGAGCGGTTTCAGAGAAGAAGCTAAAAATGTTCAAATGTTAACGCACTGACGCACGACGAACGCCGACGGACAAAAACGGATAGCAATAGGTCACCTGAGTGACCTAAAACAGCCTTTTTCTCAGTTTGATTTATATTCCTCTCTGTTTTAGTTTAGTTTAGTTTCTATTTTTAGCCACCGGTACATTATAATACCTTTAACTTTTGTGACTAAAAAGTATGAATTATTGAAGAATATAAGGGATTGTAGGAAAAAATAAGATCAAAGAAAAATTGTAGGATAATTAAGAAAAAGTAGGAACAGTAAAAAGCCTTTTATATTGACCTCTGAACTTTATTTTAGTGACCCCAAAACTAAAGGGCCTTTTTCCAATCTCAGCTAGCTAACTACGTACAGTCAAACCTGGTTATCTCAAACTCGATGGGACCAAGAAATTACTTCGAGATATCCGAGGATTCAAGAAATCCAGGGTAAAAACTTAAGGAATATAAAGCGGTTGGGACTTCCAAATCACGTTGGCATATAACGGTATTCGAAATATCAGTTTGAGATACCGAAGTTTGACTGTACTATTGTACTGAACATGAAGACTTCTGATTGTGTATGGACACAGTGGAAACTTTTGGATGATGGCTCTTATTTAATTGCATTCTAAATATTCTAAACATTCTAATAATTTTTACTGGAATAAAAGCATAGCTGACAATGTTGTTTCATTCTGTTTAATTTGGCATACTTGTGCAGGAAGGTCTGATAATCTTTTCCTTCACACAAGGTTAAAAAAGGTTAATAAAAAAAGATATGTTTGAAGTATAAATAAAAATTCACAACAAGATCACAAATGTCTTCAAGGTTCTTTTTCCTGTACAACCTTGTCATCAGACTTTTCTATATTGTTTTTTGACGACAGGTACTCTTGGATCAGCTTTTCAGCTTTCCCTTTCTGAGACAATTTATTGGCTTTTCCTTGATAGTTTCCTCTGTTGATGGAGCCTTTCCCATTCAGAATTTCTGCAACCCTGAAACAGAAGATAAATACAATTTATATGTACACTGTTTCTGTCCAGAATCTTACTGATAAAAGTAGACAGAAATTTGATCTATTGAAGATTTACACATAAAATTGATATGATGGTAACAAATTTACACTGATTACCAAGGACTGAAACAGATAAAGCACACTACAAATAAAGCTAACTCAATTTCTTTATGAAGAAGACAATTTCTTTTACAATAGGAAGTTCACAACAATTACTCCTTTTGACCTTTGACCTTGGCTCTGGAATAAGAAGCCCTTTTCCCTGGGCATTGTTGTAGGAACTTACTTTGGTCCAACATCCTTGATAAAGTCTTCTGGTCCAGACAATAGAAACAGACCGGCCCCTTTTTCATCCCCCACTGTCAGGAAGCAGATCTTGCTCTGTAGTAATTATTAATGTTAATTACTCTAAAAGTACATAACAACATGAAATTAATTAATGATAATTACCAAGCTTCTACTTACAGAATTATCCACATGCTGCACAATGATGTTCATAAACTCCAAGTCTCCTTCTTTCCTGTCAAATGACAGAAACCCTGTTCAGTGTAATACATAACAGTGGCAAATGTTTAAGCTTGTGTAACAGAAATTCACCAATTATCATGTATTTAATTAAGAAATATGGTATCATTTTTAAACATCTATTGGGATATAAATATGGGTTGGTCATGAAATCAAATTCCATAAAGCCCGAAGGGCACGATTTTGATCTATAGATTGCATGTCGACCCTTTATGATGTCACTGAGAAATTACGTCAAACATTTATGACATGAGGAACCCGTGTTTATACGGATATAGATACGCGTTGCTTTCAATAGTGTTATATAAAAGAAAACATTTGCAAATGTAAATATAGAGGAATAAACCTGACTAACAAACCTGTGTAGACTAAGGAGAGGACTGCTGTCTGTTTTAAACTTTTGTCCCTCAAAGACAGCAAGGTCCCGCAAAAGTGACGTGACATACTGAAAGAAACAATGATATTTAAAGTATAAATCATCTTTCTGTTCAGTGTACACATTCAACATTTCTCCATCTTGTAGTGTCATCCATTGAAAGTTTGTGATAAATGGTCAAATCTCAAAAATGGAGATTCATACTTGTACATTATCTACATTCAGTGTAAATTTCATTATGAAACCCATTAGAAATCTACAACATTCAACCGTCTATAAACACACACAAAAGCTTGTCATATTGTGGTAGAATACAAGATAGGAACTACATACACTTTCATTACAATAGGAACACCAATATGTAATTTGTTTTGGCTCAATTTCATCAAAAACAATTACCTTATTTAATCATCGTAAAAAATACAACAATTGTACATTTATTAGAACTAACTTTTCATTTTTTCCCTCACAATATTCACTTGCGTTAAATATCTTTCCAGGTCAAAACGGCTCTTACGTCTATTAACCACACCAATTCTGAAAGGGTCTAAATTTATAATAAAGATCAATGAAATAAACATTTATGAAGAGAGAAAATTAGAGAATGTACATAGATGCATTGAATTCTTATTCTTAGATTTTTCATATTACAGCACCTGTCCTTACTGACAAATTATCATACTGCAATACATGTGGTATTAATTTTGTTTGCATGGCCAAGTGCTGACCGACAACATTCAAAACATAAGATTTCAATGTTTAAATAATTGTAGACCCCAAATTTTATTTGCAGGGGGTTTTAGTGTATTATTATAAGATTTCACATTTAACACATTTTCCTATATAACATGAATTAAAAATTTGTCTTTGCTTGAGATGGATATTTCCTGTATATACCCATTTAAAAATTTGATCCCCTGTTGTGACCCCGCCCTACTCCCAGGGATCATGATTTGAACAAACTTGAATTTACAGTATGTAACGAAGCTTTCACAAAAGTTTCACTTTTTCTGGCCCAGTGGTTCTTAAGAAGAAGATTTTTAAAAGATGTCACTTAATTATCTCCCCATGAAAGAGAGCTAGGAACTTCCTGTGAACATATTTATATCCCCTTTACCCAAGAATGCTTTGTGGCAAGTTTGGTTGAAATTAGCCCATTGGTTCTGGAGAAGAAGTAAAAAATGTGAACAGTTTAAAGACAGACAGATGGATGACAGACAGAATTGATCAGAAAAGCTCATTTGAGCTCAACTGAGCTGAAAAGTCTTCTACAGAATTTCTAAAAGTCTCCCTATAACCAAGATTTCCTTTTAAGCAAGTTATATATAACTGAGTTTTACTGTATCATCTAATAATCAAACAGTACAATTACCTAAATTTGAATTAGAACAAGTGCAGGAGTTTTTGTAAATTTTTCTGAAAATAAAAAGAGAATACCTTTTGATTTGTTTTGAATCCCTTCACGGCTTTATCTGCCAGTTCATAGTGATCTTCAAGTGGTCCCCTGAAATATTACAGGATAATCAACTTATATATCATATCCAATAAACAACAGTGTCATTACCTTTTTTTTTTTACAGGTCCTTGGGATGTTTTGTACCAATATTACAATATTATTCCTTTACTAAATGATTATCAGGTAACATTCTGAACAAGTAAACAAGCACAATACCATAAGCCAGGAAAGAGCACTACTTTTCTATATTTTTTTTCTTCCTGACAATATGAATTATAGCTGATCTGTTTGGAAGTCTTTCAAAATTTGTGCATTTACAAGGTTGGATAAAAGTAAGTATCCTGAATGTAAGATAATTCCAAGTCAAGATATCCGACAAAATCAGGATATTATTTCAAACCTATTGGATTATTTTTCCTAAGCAAATATAACTCAGTGTCACAGCTCTTGCTATGAAACAGACTGAGAAAAATCATTATACATATGTTATCAAATAAACAAAGTGGTCATTTAATCCTTTATTTTCTTGGTTGTTTTGTTTTTAATTTCATGTGCCCTTATAAAAAAGAAACTTCAATGTCCTTACTTGAGCAATGTTGTCAGTGCCCTTTCAACCTTGACACAGCGACCTAAATATTGAAGAACACGACCTCCAGCCACAAATATTAGATTTGTTCTGTCTTTTTTCTTTGCTTTTTCTACCCATAACAATTTGATGGACTGAAAAAAGTGGTAAGAAAAAGGCTTAATTACTGCAAAAATTAGCTTTACATGGAAGACACATGTCTGTTATGTGGTCATACATTAAATCAATAGTATAGCCATTTCCTGATTAATTTTAATTGGAGACATCTGGCTATAAGAGAACTGAGGAAAAGTAATTTTATGCAAACAAGCAGGTCATGGAGTGTTAACCTAAGACTACAATGATTAAAAAAATAACACGATTACCAGAGGTCTAGGAACTGACCTGTAGATGAGAGAGATTGGAGACATGAGTTCCGCAGCAGAGGGTCGAGTCGATTCCGTCTACATGTAGGACACGCACCGGGCCAACATGATCATCTGGGAGCCCTCGGCAACGGAACTGATAAATACACACTGGATTTAATTAATATAGAAACTTATATACAATTATATATCTTTTTGGCAAGCTCATTTGATTTGCTTATGTCTGATGCTTAAATTAATGAATGAATCCATCCACAAAATCAACTTTAAATGCAAATGTGATTTTTTTAATAAGAATGAACAACCCATTACTCTATTAATTTAATACCTTCCATTTATAAAGAGATACTGCACATCCTAAATCTTCAAAAAATTTAAAACACAGGAAATCACTGGTGAATGTTCTGTCCATGCAAGTTTGGTCTGGATAAGACTTATAGCTGCAGTGAAACTTGTTTGGTACAAACATGGACATAGCAAATTTACGGATATATAGAGGATATTCAATGTTTTGTAGTTGGATATGGAATTTATTTCATGAGTGGGACAGAATTTTTTGATATTTTCACGAGTGCAAAGCACGAGTGAAAATATAAAAAAATCCTATCTCACGAGTGAAATAAATTCCATATTCAACTACAAAACATTGAATTTTTTGTTTATTACATTTTGAATTCTTTGATTTTCTCTTTGCCTTTGTCTTTTCTTAACACTGTGTCATAGGCTGCGACATCATAATTGAGCAGTTGAGACGTCATAGCTTAGCAGCTTTGAGATTGAAAACATTGTAATATGGATTTTAGCAACATATTTGGGAAGAAATTGGCAGTTTTAGTCTCTTTCAAGACGATTTAATTCCTTTTTCAATCTTATTACAGGCCAGAAATTATATTTTACTTACTTTGATATCCTTTCACACTGTGAGAGAATATCACTTTAATTCAATGAATAAATCACAGTATTTCACTGTTGAAAATGTAATAAAGGGAAGTATTTTGGAATCCCCAGCAAAATACTTAACAATTTTTTGTAAATTTTACTGTTATAACAAAATCTTTCGTAAGAATTCATATCTATAATTTCAATTCATCAGAAAATTTAAGTTAACTAAGCTAAATTTTGTATTTAATACTTCCCTGGACATATTCTAAAAACATTTATATTGTGTATATTGCGAAGTTGCAATATATACTTTAGCAATTTTGTTATATGCATATCACAGATATACATGTATTGCAGATAAAGTAAATTCTCAGGTCCCCAAAACTTTGCTATGACCAAGTTTTACTGTACTTGGGAATAGCTGAAACCCATCACCTGTTCAATCATCAAGAAAATGTAGGTAATATTAAGCATCCAAATCATTTCCTTGTGTTTTGCATCCCTAGATCACCCATGCAAATTTGGTCACTAGTATAGGGATTAGAGTTATCTGGAAGTCCACTTGCTCCAAAAATATGCTTACAGGGAACAAGCTTATAATGAATTGACACTTACAGTGTAGTGATTTTCATTCCACATGGCTTTAAAATATATTGTAAACTTAACTGATTTAAGGAATCTACAAGCACTGACTATGGAAGCTACAGGACCACTACAAGCATTGACTTTGGGAGTTATGGGACCACTACAAATAATATCAAATTTAGGAGATATAAAGGACCATAACTAACATTAACTTTTGGAGTAACAAGACCAATACAAGCATTTACTGTAATTACAAGTTACAGACCACTACAAGCATGAACTATGGGAGTTACAGGACCACCACAAGCACTGACTATGGGAGTTACAGGACAACTACAAGCACTGACTATGGGAGTTACAGGACCACCATAAGCACTGACAATGGGAGTTACAGGACAACTACAAGCACTGACTATGGGAGTTACAGGATAACTACAAGCACTGACTATGGGAGTTACAGGACAACTACAAGCACTGACTATGGGAGTTACAGGACCACCACTTTAGGAATTATGGGAGCACTACAAATAATATTAAATTTGGGAGATATTAAGGACCATAAGTAACATTAACTTTTGGAGTTACAAGACCAATACAAGCATTTACTGTAATTACAAGTTACAGACCACTACAAACATGAACTATGGGAGTTACAGGACCACTACAAGCACTGACTATGGGAGTTACAGGACAACTACAAGCACTGACTATGGGAGTTACAGGACAACTACAAGCACTGACTATGGGAGTTACAGGACAACCATAAGCACTGACAATGGGAGATACAGGACAACTACAAGCACTGACTATGGGAGTTACAGAATAACTACAAGCACTGACTATGGGAGTTACAGGACCACCACTTTAGGAATTATGGGAACACTACAAATAATATTAAATTTGGGAGATATTAAGGACCATAAGTAACATTAACTTTTGGAGTTGCAAGACCAAGCATTTACTGTAATTACAAGTTACAGACCACTACAAACATGAACTATGGGAGTTACAGGACAACCACAAGCACTGACAATGGGAGTTACAGGACCAGTACAAGCACTGACTATGGGAGTTACAGGACAACTATAAGCACTGACTATGGGAGTTACAGGACCACCACAAGCACTGACTATGGGAGTTACAGGACAACTACAAGCACTGACTATGGAAGTTACAGGACCACCACAAGTACTGTCTATGTGAGTTACAGGACAACTACAAGCACTGACTACTGTGGAATCATCATTGTTCGTGGGGGACCAATGTATGTGGATTTCGTGGGTTACCCTTAACCACTAAATTACATCCCCACGAACGTTTATTGTGTAAACATATTGATTAATTGAATCTACCGTATAAACTGGTAACCCACGAAATTACGTCCCCTCGAACAAGTAAAATTTTGCTTGTCCACGAACATTGACCCCCACGAATTAAAATGATTCCACAGTATGGGAGTTACAGAATAAAGCAAGCTCTGACTATGGGAGTTACAGGACAACTACAAGCACTGACTATGGGAGTTACAGGACAACTACAAGCACTGACTATGGGACTTACAGGACAACTACAAGCATTGACTTTGGGAATAATAGGACCTCTACAAGCATTTACATGTAATTAAGAGTTATAGGACCACTAAAACGATTAACTTTGAGAGTTATAGGACCACTACAAGGATTAACTTTGGGAGATACAGGAACACTACAAGCATTAACTTATGGAATTAAAAGACCATAACAAACATGACCTTTCTGAGTAAGCATGAGATACTTTATGCATTCAGATTTTTGAGTTCTAAGACATATTAAGATTACTTTTTGGAGTTCTGGATCCTCTTTATCATGGTAGAGGTGGGGTGTGACTGGAATACTGGCCAGAATTTTCTCATTCACTGCATCTTCTAGATCTGCCATCTGCTGGTTGCTCAAGGAGGTAATATCTAATTCAATCGAGGATATGTTTTCTCCAAGACACCTGAGTTAATAAAATATATATTATCATAGAGTAACTTGATCCAAAGAGCCGTATCATGTCGAGTTGACAGTCGCGGATCATCAGATCAAATGAGACGTGGAGCTTTGATTCTTTGTTTGATCACTTTGGCTACAGGCAACTATACAGCTTCATTCAAATTTTTCACCTTCAGATTTTTCAAGTGTTGATTTAAATGAATCCTCCCCTTAAATATGCTTGGTACAATTTTTCTGGATTTGGGGTATCTACAGGCATTTAAAAATCCCCCAATAGTTTAATATCCTTGCCAACTTTGATGTTGTTCAATTTTAATTCAGAATAATCCATCAGTGTTTAAATATTAACAAAAAATAATGATTTGTTGATACTTTCTAAACAGCACAGTCAAAGAGCCCATTCTCTATAGCTTAAGCGCATTTGTCCTTTGTCTTGCTTATTTTAAATTTCATATATTAATAACTATCTCGCAAAAATAATGTGTCATGAAAATATGGTTATCTACAGTACAGATGACTGCCTTTTTAAGTTGATCTGATTTGCTCTTTGTCAGTTACACTGTACTTGATGGGTTGACTGGAGTCTGTGTATAATTTACTAGCAGTTAGATCTAGCAAATTTCTGATTCAATGCACTTCTCACCATGATGTGGTTGGGCATCCATACATGCTCTCAGCTATAGCCGTTATCAAGTGCTGACCTAAAAATCATTCCAATTTTTTATTCATTGTACAGAATAAAACACTGACAATTTATTTTGAAAACATATAAAAAAAAGAATTATTGTATTTGAAGTATAGTGTATTTTTGAAAAGAAAACAAATGACTATGGTACAAACATGTTGACGTTTGACATTTAAATATGATCTCACAAACTGAAATTCAATAACTTTGGCCAATAATTGAATAGACACAAAAAAATGAGATGCTTCAGTAACCTGTATGTTGTTGCATGTGGTCAAACCTCCTCTTCCAGTCCACTTTGAGGCATACTTCTGTACCAGCCTGTATCTCCTTGGTGACGAAATTGACAGCATCTGCTCCTCGTCTAGTGATGCGTAAAACCTCTACGTCATTGATCTAGACAGGGGGAATTAAACGCATGTGTGTATCAGTAATTACATAATAAGCTGGCACCTCTATGTACTTTGTGAATGAGTCGAGTCATTTACTACCATCACCAGTATTCTATGTAATTGCTGACGTTAGTGAGAAAATTATCATATTAAGATATTGTTATGTATAACAATTTACATCTTCCCATAATAAAGTGAAAATAACCATTCACATGCCATACATCCTTGAACACAACAGACAATTACGTACAAACAATATCAGTAAACACACATATCCCTCTGCAGACAATTTTATGTTTAATGCCTTGACACAAATTTACTAATCATAGCTTAATAAATAAAAAAAAACTGACTAATAATTCTAACTTACTGTGCCTCTGTCGTCTGGCTGAAATAGAAAAAAAAATAAATTAACATTTAAAAATGAAATAACAAATAGCACAAATTTTAAAGAGCATGATGCAAAATAGTTTCCAATTATTAAACTTAACATTTTATTAAAATCACACCACTGTAAGTGTTGGCTTTGATTTGTCTACCCCATTTGCAAACATCTGTCTGAAAAATCACAAGTCTTCTTAGAATATAAATTACAGCGATTTAAACAAATCTCTGATAGAACTGAAGCTGCATATTCATAGTAGATATGATATTTTCTAGAAACAAGTACTAAATGGTGAATTCGATTTTGTTACGTTACAGATGTTAAGGCCCATTTCAGATTGTACATTGCTTTTCCTCACCTCATAATAATTAAATTTTGCACTTAAACATGTTAAATCTTTATGCATAATTCTTTCATATATTTATTTCAAGTACATTGTATTTATAACTAAATGAAATGATCAATGCATAATAAATCACAATTAGAAGTAATTTATGTATTTTCTTTCTTTTCTAAATGCTGTATTGTCTATCTATTAAATATACTACACTAAAACTTGTCTAATCTGGACACCACTGGTTCCATAGAAATTGACCAGATAAGACAACATTCTGGATTAGACAACAAAAGCAACTGAATTTCCTGCAAAGGACTTAAAGTTAACGTCACATTAGGCAAGATTTTGGAATATACCTGGTACATCATCTGGATTAGACAAGTTTCACTGTATAACTTTTCCAAAATAACAAAAATTCAAAACATCCGTTTGAAATTTGTATCATCTATCTGTTAAACTGTATCAAAAATGTTTAAATCAGATTGTATACACTATCATAAAACAGGAATTTTCTTTCAATTACTTCAGCAAAAAATTGGATGGATTTACAGAGTTTATGCCCATTTTCTATACTACTTCCCATACATAGGGCCAAAATAAAAAATACCTTTGTTTCCCCTAATGCAACCAACCCAATTAAATCCCGCCAACTGAAAAGTTTTTTTAAGAAGATTATTCCAATATTTTTTTTTTAATGTTTATCAGCTTTTATAAAATACAATTTCATGAAAACCTGTTCTTATCAGAAAATCAGAATGTATTTTCAAAGCTGCTGTCAGGAAAAAAAATTATTTACCTACCTATCTACCCAACTTCAGATTTTAGGGTCGGGTTAGGGGAAACAAAGATATTTTTAATGATGGCCTAATTATATCACATCAAAATTATGTTTCCCCTTTAATACTGTGTTTTCTTGGATTTTTTTACATCAATATATTTTGAACATGTTAGATTTCATTCATCACAAAAATAATTGTCTGTTGCAATTAGTTGTCGCTAAATTGACAGGACTAACATTAAATACTGTAAAATCACTTATTTTTATGGGGTCAAAATTTCGTGGTTTGAGGAAAAAATATCAGTTTGTGGGGATTTGATTTCGTGGTTGAATAAGTGTTCAGTAATATATATTTGGGATTTTACATTTACATACCACAAAAACAACTAAAATTCCCCCCCCCCCCCCCCAAAAAAAATTAGTGATTCCACAGTACGCAGTTATGCAGCCAGTACTATGATCAAGAGCACTAATTAATTTGTCCTTGCAACAACTGTGTAGGTGTTCTAATAAGTGAGCTTTTAAAAATCAATATTCACTGACTCTTTATATGACTGATTGACTGATTTTAAGCTTGGTACATACCTGTCCTCCCCCCTCTGGGAACAATATGGTATCTTCCAGAATCACCTCATACCCCTTCAGCTTCTCCTTTTTAGTTTTACCTGGTAATTCTGCAGGTGAACAACTCTTAACTTTTGTCTGAAACTAAAAGTGATCAAATTTACAATACATGTACATGTATATTAATTTCCTTTAAGGATGAATTAAAATGCAATTGAAGGTGTATTTCTCTCTGTGAAGAGAAACATATATAAATGTAGATGGTACTAATCATTCTTAACTGATGACATCAAAAATTAAATATACTTTACCAGCTATGAACAACACATTCCTCTCTGTACAGACAAGGAATAGTAACACAATAGCAGTTTTTGCTACCAATTCATAATCAGGTTAATATCATAAACATTGTACTAAGTCACTAACTAAATTTTCTTATTAACTAATTATTAACTTATTTTAACTGATTGACTTATTAATAATCATATCATTCATATGCCAGTGAGTTAGCAAATAGCTTGATTTAGCTATTTTGTGAATGAATTATAAAAGAGGCAAATTCTGGTTAACGAGATATTAGTATTATAATGGTTAGGCCATGGATATCAGCCTGGTAGCTAAGTTGGTAGAGCACCAGCTGACTAGTGATGCATGGGTCCCAGGTTTGATTCCAGGTTCAGCTATATATTTTCACCTTTCCTGTTACACAATTTGGTGCCATGACCAGGATGTTACAGCTGCAAGGGAGGAGTCTTAGGTGGTGTCTTTGGGGCAAAGACCTTTAAGGAGGGAGGAAATATGGTTGTCAGATGGGTTCAATTGCTGATGACCAGAAAGCTCAGTAAAATTGTAGAGCACCTGACTGGAGATTAAGGGGGCCTGGGTTCGAATCATGGTCTGGTCCATCACATTTTTCTCCTCTACCGTTACATTTTCTGCTGTGCCATGACCTGGAAGTGACAAGTAAAAGGCCTGCCAGGGAAGATTCTGGGTTGGTGTCTTCGAGGGCAATGACCTTTAAGGAGGGAAGAATGTGGTGGTCAGAATGGTTTGATTGCTGGTGGCCTAATAGCTCAGTTGCTAGAGTACCTGACTGGAGATTCTGGGGGCCCGGGTTCTCCTCCCTTTTTACATTAGTATTAAATTAAATGGTAATTATTCTGAACAATGTAAAGTATTCATACTTATCCATGCCTCAACACACAAGGTGGTATACAATTACCCAAACAATGGAAATACATATATTGCTTAAAAGAGTTAGCAGTGTGTAAACTTTCTTTGATTTGAGTTGTTTTTTAACAGTCCATAGAACAAATACAAGTAATTACATATAAATTGAAACTTTTCATCTATTTAATTGACAAATCTTGCTTGTGAAAACCTGAAATAGCTAAATCAAGCTATTTTGAACAGCTTATCAAAGCTATCTTTATATATATAGCAAAACTAATTCAAGCTATATAGCTTGCTGAAGAGATTGTGCCGATGTGTATGGCTTCTCCATACACTTTTTCTTAATGGCGATTTGCAGAACCAGCAACTGGCATTACTTATGTTGATATATACTCCATCAACAAGTTAAATTCCACTTTTCTTGGGTATCATTCTCTATAGAGCACAAAGTCTTTTGCAAACAATCCCTTGATAACTCGGTGACAGTCGGGGATAGGGACTTATAAACAAAAGAAATAATGGTCCATAACCCTAGGGGTACTATGAGACAAAAATGTTTTATAAGCGTGCATTTAGCTTACCTCTTTACAATAACTGTTTTGTTGACATGCAAGAGCCATTTTAGAACTGAAAGTGAAAGTAATTTTCAATCAGTAACCAATGAAAATTGATCACGTTGCCGGTGAGAACTCTTTTGTTAAGAAGGTAAATAAAGCCTATATCTAATCGGAAACTCTTTCGATTTTTGCCGTGATTTGAAGATAACGTCAATGATTTCCGGTTAAAATGGAGTTAGACTCGTGTATTGGGGCTGTGAATGCTATGAAAAAGGCGTTTATTTTGCTTTTTATGACAATTTTGATCGACAAAACGTCGGGTATGAAATGAATTGATTATATTTAATACCTATTAATGTAGAAACTGTTTTTCAAGCCCTTGTATGCTAAACGGTCTTCATTGAAAATTGACGTGAAAATATTGCACTTTTTGAAATATCTATTTTTTTTTTATTTTTAACATTGCCTTCAAAATTTTTGAAGTGAAAGATAAACACTACTTTGCTGAATTTATACATTATTTGAAAAATGGGATGAATATTCTTGATACGTAAACTGTATAAAGGATTATGTTTATAGGTCTGTAAAGACTGTATACTACAAAAGATGCCTTGCTCTTAGAACTATATCTTCTTTTATCTTTATATAGGGCGATTTGATTATGAGTACGTTACATGTGGATCTACTTTGAAGCTGAAAAATAACTACCATGGTGTCCGGTTACATTCACATGATGTTAAATATGGATCAGGAAGTGGCCAACAGGTTTATTTCATCACATAATTTGTACTGAATTATTACAAAATAGCAGACCTGCCTAACATTTAGCATGATCACACTTCTGCTCTAAAATGGTAGGCAGGTCATTTCTCATTAGAATGATATTTATTTTGTCATTATTGAAATTTTATATTGGAATGAATGATATATTTCCATGTGTGATTTCAGTCTGTGACAGCAGTAGATTCTACAGATGACAATAACAGTTACTGGCAAATCAGGGCCAAAACTGGAACAGAATGCACTAGAGGGTAACAGCATTAAAAGAAGAAAATTGACTTAAATAATTTATTTAAATGTCATTCATGAGTCTAATTAACGACATTTTTTGATAAAATATGAATATTGAATTAAATCAAATGACAAGAAAACTTGGTACACTAGGTTTTGTTAATTTAGAAATCCAATCAAGTGTGGACAGACAGTTCGACTCCTTCATGTAACAACTCGGCGGAATCTTCACAGTCATCATTTTCAGTCTCCTCTGTCAAGGAACTTGGAAGTTAGTGCTTTTGGAGAAGATGGAGAAGGGGATGAAGGTAGCAATAATTAATTCATGTAATCTCCCAACATGAGGCTATAGCCAGCAAATAATGTTTGAAAAAAAAAGAGATGCATCCTGTTTGCTCCATGTTCTTAAATAAAATTAAAGAGAATTTAAAATTTTACATGTCACATTCTACTTTTGGTTAAAAATTCAACATAGTACGCTGTAGTTATAAAATTTTCAATTAATACTTCCTTCAAACATTCAAACATGGCTGGTGGGGTAGGATTTTGAAAATGCGCAAACTGTACACTGTTGTCATAAAACATCAAATCCTACAGAGCTCCATGAATAATTCAATTCAGACATTGAAAGAGTTAATGCAAACAATGGGATAACATAAAATGAGCTTGTTGACATCAAGCTAGCTAGCTAGTACTGTAGGCTATTTCAAAGGTCTGCTATGTCCCTGCATAATTCAAATCGCCAAAAATTATTATTGCAAATGATCATGATTATGAAAAAGGTCAAATTTGATTTTATTTGAAGAGAACCTAGATAAGTTAGGGCCAGATGATTTTGCACTCTATTTTCATGTTTCTATGAGGGTTGGTCCTGAAGGAAAAAGAACTGATTCTATTCCACTCCTATGTAGCTTATGGTAACTGGCTTAGTAATGCAAGAAAAGGGCTAGCAGACTTTATCAACCACTACCAATGTGTAATAACAATCTGAAAAATAAGACGTCTATCCCAAATGATAAACTGTCCCCCATTTCAGAGCTAGATACTGTTAGGGGGAAAATAAATCACAGTATTGAATTTCATACTCATATTCAAGCACCTGCAATTAGGTGCCAAGTACTGCTGCAAAATAGGACCAAATTAAGCTACTATCAATTATCGATTTGAATTTGTACCATACAATTATATAATCAATAGTTTGAAATTTATTAAAGGTTAGATAAAATAAAGTTAACCATGTACTCCATGTATCTAGATATCCTGAAAACAAAATTTAAGTACTAGTACATAATCTGCGAGGCCAACTTTAAAGCATGCTTTTCTGCCATTTCCACGAGAAAGAGAGAAAGGCCCATTGATTATGTTCAAAAATAAAGTTTTGTTAGAACTATATTTTCAGAATATTTAAGACTATCTATGTTAAAACTTTTTATCATCCCAGACTGTCTTTCGATAATTGCCAACTATCGAAACAACACTAGTGCCAAGGAAAAACCTGACTGAAATAGGGCCTTATATTCCCAATTTTCAGTCATTTGCTATCTCTTACATACGTTTTTCCAGATGCTTATGTACAGTGATATAAGATTTTCTTTTTGACAGGGGATCACTGGGTTGTTACCTGTTCGGGAAAGTACTGGAGCAGAAATGAAAAAATAAGAATTAAAAATGTAGTCACAGAAAAGTGAGTGTGCAGTTACAATTATACTTAAATGAGCAGTACTGTCATATCTAAAATACTGTGCTTGATGTTAGTGGATAGTTGATTTGTTTACAGTATATTTATTTATTTTCTTGTACATATATATTGTTTTTGTTTTGTTTTTGAGAAGTGTACAATTGGCCAGTTTTTACTGGTAAAAATGATTACTGAGGTCTAATGTATACAATATTTTGTAGTTACCTACATGTAGCTGGGGACACTTTTGGTCGACCAATTCACGGTCAGAGGGAGGTCAGTGGGTACCCCTCTCCCTCAGAAATGAACTACTGGCAGGCAGCAGAGGGGATATTTATCAAACCTTCAGACCCCCCTCAAGGAGTGAAGGATACTCATGATGAATTGTGATAAAATCTAAGTTAATAGATCTTAATGTAAGGAAATTCCTTTTGAATGTTTTATTTTGTACGAGTATGTTATTAAATGACAAATTAAATGTTATGTGAATATAAGGTTATGAGTGTAATATTCTTTTCAGGAAATCATAGTATGATACTTCATGCATTGATGTAGAGGTCATTAAAACATAGAACTTTTCTGCTGTGTTTTGTTTGGCTGTCTCATGTCACTGTTAATCTGTTTGACTCTGTCCATAATTTTTACAGATTGCACATGTATGTATGGTTTGCCAACAGTCTGATAATTCTTCTTCATATGTTTTTGTTCAAAAGTGTACCTATGTGTATTTCATGTCATACACTACAGTAGAAGAATCTGTTGTTTCTTCAGATGGATACTCATATATTTTTTAATTCATCTTAAATTACATTAATAAGAATTACATGTTTGGACTTCATTTGTTTTCAGCAAGTATACATGTATGTATTGTAAAGGACTGGTTTATTCATCTGTCATTGTTTCTAAGTGGTTGGTCTTTGTTATGACATTGATCAAAGAACAAACTCGTGAAATATCAGTTAAGTCATGTATATCAGAATTCTACAAGTATTTAAATGAAATTTTATTGTTTTAGTTTACTGAATGTGTATTTTTTTTTTTTAAAAGAAACATACTGATGTTGTCAGATGAATTAGGTTCCAAATATTGTGTGAATTGTGACTTGTTTTGTTCATTGTTATTACTGATATGTAGATCTCTTGATACAGTGCATTGTACAATTGTGTGTATAGGCTTCACATTTTCTGTAAAATTGGACATTTTAGGTAAGACTTTAGTAGACTGTCCTTTCAGAAATATGTTTGCATCTTTTTATAGGGGGGATGATTTTTATTAAACAAGTAAAATAAAATCCATTGTGAATGAAGAATAAATTTGCCTTGCCTAATTGGCTGCACTTTTTTCCACTATGTACACTGTATGCAGTTATTTATTATAAACAATAATGTTTTTTTTCTCTGTAGCCTGTATTTTGAGAATTTATTTTAGGATTTCTTGCATTCCCTATGAAATTCATAGCATGCATGTAAAAATCAGCCTGTGGCTTATGCAAAAACATTATTTCAATTCAAAATGATTATTCTGAAGTGTTGTAATTTAGTAAAGTAGGCATTTCTTTCCTGTATATTAGAACAAGCCTTTGAAGAAAAAAAATAAATAGTGGGAAATACATGTAATTAACGGTGTGATGTAAATTATTTCAGACACTCGTGGACAATATTACATAATTACATGTAAGATCACTTAATGAACACTATTAGATATCATATTGGCAGATGCTCGAAGTAGGTCATTGAATATTAGAATATATTATAGGATTACCAAACTTACATTGGTGAATATTGGCACCAGTTGGCTGTACAAATGCACGAGCTTGTGAGTGCATTTGTACAGCCAAGTCATGCCAGTATTCACCAAAATAAGTTCGATAACTCTTTTATTATAAAGCTAAAACATGTCCTATTGATTTATATTAACTATTTCAATTAAATAACACAAAATAAATGAGAATTTTTCAGTATTGGTATTTGAATGAAAACTGTGCAATATCAGGGTCTGTCCTGGAAGTGTTAAATAGTATATACATCATTGCAATGACCCTACCTTGTTAGCTCACCTGAGCTGAGGGCTCAAGTGAGCTTTTCTGATCACCCGTTGTCCGTCATCCATCCGTCCGTCCGTCCGTCTGTAAACTTTTCACATTTTTAACTTCTTCTGAAGAACCACTGGGCCAAATTTAACCAAACTTGGTACAAAACATCCTTAGGTGAAGGGGAGTTTAAATTGTTAAAATGAAGGGTCAAGTCCCCTTTCAAAGGGGAGATGATCAAGAAAAGACAAAAATTTGGGTGGGGTCATTAAAAAAATCTTCTTCTCAAGAACCACTGGGCCAGAAAAGCTGAAACTGATGTGGAAGCATCCTGGGGTAGTGTAGATTTTAAATTATTCAAATCATGACCCCCGGGGGTAGGGCAGGGCCACAATAGGGAATCCAAGTTTTACATTGAAATATGTAGTAAATAATTTTCTTCTCAAGAACTACTGGGCCAGAAAAGCTGAAACTTATGTGGAAGCATCCTGGGGTAGTGTAGATTCTAAATTTTTCAAATCTTGACCCCCTGGTGTAGGGTGGGGCCACAATAGGGAATCCAAGTTTTACATTGAAATATGTAGTAAAAATCTTCTTCTCAAGAACCACTGGGCCAGAAAAGCTGAAACTTATGTGGAAGCATCCTGGGGTAGTGTAGATTTTAAATTGTTCAAATCATTACCCTCGGGGGTAGGGTGGGGCCACAATAGGGAATCCAAGTTTTACATTGAAATATGTAGTAAAAATCTTTGAAAATCTTCTTCTCTAGAACCACTGGGCCAGAAAAGCTGAAACTTATGTGAAAGCATCCTGGGGTAGTGTAGATTCTACATTATTCAAATCATGACCCCTGGGGGTAGGAAGGGGCCACAATAGGGAATCCAAGTTTTACATTGAAATATGCAGGAAAAAATCTTTGAAAATCTTCTTCTCAAGAACCACTGGGCCAGAAAAGCTGAAACTTATGTGGAAGCATCCTGGGGTAGTGTAGATTTTAAATTGTTCAAATCATGAACCCTGGGGGTAGGGTGGGGCCACAATAGGGAATCCAAGTTTTACATTGAAATATGCAGAAAAAAATCTTTGAAAATCTTCTTCTCAAGAACCACTGGGTCAGAAAAGCTGAAACTTATGTGGAAGAATCCTGGGGTAGTGTAGATTCAAATTTTTCAAATCATGACCCTTGGGGGTAGGGCGGGGCCACAATAAGTACTACAAGGGGTGATCAGGTGAAAAACAGCAAGGCCAAAGTTACTCAGGTGAGCGTTGTGGCCCATTGGCCTCTTGTGTTATGATATGCTTTTTGAGGTTTTTATTGAGGCTAATAGGTACTAAATTATTGATTAAGAATGTCAATTTTGTGTGAAAATGAAGACGCATCTTACCTAGCTGCCACTATAACCATCATAAATATTGCTGTTGAGCAGTTCATGACCAGACATTTTTTGTTTACAGTGGGGCGTTTGATATTGAATGCTCACATACAGAATGTTTCAGGCATATGTGAATGCAAATTCAGCATTCAATAAAACACCAAGATATTGAATGCTAAAATTCTCTAGACTTTTACTAGTTTTTTTTTTTTTTATTTAATAGACTATTTATTAGTAGAAGGAATATGATAATACTCATTGATTTGTGTCCTTTATTAAATTATAGACACCTAACCTTCTCTAGAAAAATGATTTTCCTCTGTAACAGGAGGGAAGAAAAAGTGACAGACCAGACCAGGATTTAAACCCAGGATTCCTTAATTATAGACAGGTGCTGTACCAGCTGAGCTATCTAGGCACCAGCTAATAAACCTGCCTGACTGCCAAATTTCTCCCTCTTTAAATGAAAATGGTGCCTTGAAGAAGCCAACCTAGATTCTTTTGCCTGAAATGGCTGGAGTTTCACTTGAAAATCAAAGGATGGTCTGAACACACCAAATGTTCAGGAACAAGGTGATGGTCCAGCAGGTGTGTTCAATAGTGGCCAGACAGCTCACTAGTGGCAGAGCACCCCTCCAGAGCTCAGGGGGCATGGGTTCAAATCCTGGTCTGGTCGAATCATTTTAGAAATCTTCCTTTCTATTACAGTAACTATGTAACACGGACCTACTACTAAATATAACTTATTGTTATACCTTTAAGAAATGGTTCCTATCTTAATCTATACTAAGTCAAAAAATGTCTTAAATTTCCATTTTTTTACTGAGCGGTCATAAAAAAAATTGATGTTTGATATTGGACCTGTCTATTAGATATTGGACCACTTATGTCAAACTGTGGACAGAATCAGCTAAATCTCATTTGCAGTCATTGGTGTTCAACAGTGACGGAATGGACCAAGTTTAACCACAGTGTGGGTAAAGAAAATTTATACATCACGGAAGCCAGCACAATTAAGATGCATGTACCAGTATGCCAAAAAAAAAATAAAAAAAAATAAAAGGTATATTGGTCTGAACTTAAATTTCAAAAAAAGAAAAGGAATATATGGGACTGAACTAATTTGACATTACCGGCCCTTTCATTCATAGCAATGTTCATTAGGATTTAGCAGTCATAACATATCAGGGATGTATAGTAGGTACCTGGCAGTATGGGGACAGCCACTGCCTGATATGTGTATTATGAAAATTCCCTCTGAAGGGACCATGATGCCAGATGGATGCATAATTGCAGGGTATAGCACAGTGAGTTACCTAACTTATAATCAGCTAGGTTATTGGGTGGGTGGGGTTGGGGTCATGACATGGTTGATCAAACCTTGACCCTTAAGGCCAGAATTGATCAATATACACTGTTATCCAAATCTGATTGAAAGATATATATAGATCTATATAGGGATTTTAGGCCTATTGAACAGTTTATTTTTACAAAGTATGCATGCTTATGATATCCAGTTCAATTCGTTTATTTACCAATAATATATATCTAGACATCTCATATAATTATTTCCTCGCATTTGGGTACAAGTAACTAGGGCCCAAATAAATGCCATATATTCAATACTGTAACTATATCTATTGTTTCTTTCCCCTTTTCGGCACCCCGTAAATATAAGTGACGTCACGCATAATCCGCCATGTTGGTGTTGCACATTGAGGTGAAAAAAGTCGTCACTTGCGGTGTCTCGCTAAACAATCCTTGAATCTGGTCGTTACAGAAAAGGCAGGCACAGCCACTGGTACATTCAATGTGTAACAACGTACTGGTATGTATTATTTTATTATATTTTAACATATAAAAAATTACTTGATGTCGGGAAAGGAAATAAATCTGTTCACGCGAGGTTCAGTGAGTTCACATTCCAAATATTGGGACACGAGTTTGGTTTGAACCACATCGTTGCTCTTCTTTTGAAAGTCTGTCTGTTTATTGATTCAGTAAAATTTTCAGTAATTTAGTGTTTTTTCTAAACTTTTTCAACACAAACTTACATTTATAGCCTATATTGTTCAGGATTGGCAGTTAATTTCATTTTTTTCAAATGAAACTTACAGCGGTACTGTCTGAAGTAAGAAATTCTTTCCGATCTAAATATATATAAAGATAAATTGAGTGTCACGTTTTCAAAAGGTGTTAAAGGTATACAATATGCTGTTTTCTTAATTAGACATATCTTACCAGGGATTATTGTGCATGATGAAAGTTATCTCCCTTCATCTCTTACTCTTCATTTCAATTCTCTTCAGTCTTGCTCTCTTCGAGCTTTCTTTTCGGAAATATTTTATGTCATCAAACATGCAGTCACTTCAAGATATGCTGTGAGCTTTATAATAAGATCATAGATGGGGACATTGTTAACTAATTCTCTAATTTGTTGATGGATTTGTTCCAGCACTGTTCTTGACAACTTAGATTGATGCCGGTTCAATCTACGAGAGGAGATGGCTTTGATGAAAGAGAAATTTAATCTACTTTTTCCAAATTATTGAACTGAAAATTACAACTGTGCATGTATTTACAGTGGAGTCAATGTTGGAGAAATTATATGTTTTTGGTTCAGTCTGTTTATAGTACAATGTTCTGAAGTGATGACAGTTGGGAGACCTTTATTACAATTCAATTTAATATATAATAACAGGGAAATGAACCCATATAGAAATGTGTCAGGGTTCAGGATCTCATATCAACATGACATAGTATGAGAGGATATTATGTATACACCGATTTTGTGTATGTGGGCATAATAATTGACCTATTTTTTCAGGGCTTCATTTGTAACTGTACAAACTGAAAATAGATGACTTTCTGTAGCATACTTGGTCGTGAACTTTTTCTCTGTAAACTTTACACTTTTCTTCCTCACAGTTTTTTCCTCCTTTCCTTTTTTTTTTTTTTTTTTTTAAAAGCACTTGTTCATGTTGTCAGTCCTGAATGTCGTTAGGGGAATATTCTTTATAAATTTTTCTCAGATGGTTTTCATTATGAACTACTAGCCTTATCTTTAATTGATAAAATAAATCATAGAACTTTAAGGTAAGGCATGACATAATACAATATAACAGAGAAAAAAAAAGACATACATTACTGAAAATGACTATGTTAAAACACAGGATATAGAGTTCCCTTTATAAGTATAGTGAAAGTGATTCATGTAATTCAGTTTCATTTCTTGAATATTATCATTATTTAGGGGAAATTTCAACTAAACAAGTTGTTCACACTTTGCCAGTTTTTTGCTGTGTACAGACACAGTATGGGCATACTAATGTTTAAAATGTTCAGACAAGTTATAAATTACAAGTTATGTATAATTTATTCATATTTATTACATTGTTTGTAAGACACAAAAAACATATATGACGTGATGGTAAAGTTATTTGATAAGGACATTGTTCATTATGAAAGCACTGACCTCTAAGAGACAAGAGATTGTGTGTATTGAATCACATGCTTTCTTTCACAATACCTGAGGGTTGAGGTAAGTCTTGGCCGGATTACAATTAGAAAGAGCCAGAAGTGATTGCTAAAACAATTCCATGATCTGTTGTCACTTTTACGTGGATTTTACATTTAATGAGCATTGACTATGTGGAGGTAAAGTAGTAATTAAGGATAAAATATAACGATGAACAAGGTTTTAATTAGTCATTTTTCTGGTACTTTCTAAACATTTGGAAACTTAAATAGATTTTTTTGTTTGAATTTATAGCTTTTCTTCACTTTCCAAATATACCAGTATTAAAACTTTTTGAGATCTTTGGATAATTCATCTAGAGTTAATTTGTCACTTATGCCCTGTTCACACGGAGAGTTTAGTTCGAATTAAACGTAAGTTACTGCGAATTAAATTTGAACCGTGTTCACACGGAGAATTTAATGCGAATTATTTTAATTCGAATTAATTTACTGCACATTAAATTACTTCGCATTAGCTCCGTGTGAACACTAAGCGAAGCTAATTCGAATTAAATTTTGACGCATGCGTAAGGGCAGAATTTAGTCAAAGACCACTTGTCGGTGGTCAGATATAGTAACTTGTGCTATTTTTGAGTGGAAAACCAAAGAAAATTATGTTAATCAATAAAATGTGTACAGACACTATGACATTATGTAAAATGTACCTGCTCTGCACAATGTGACGTGATTTGAAAATGACGTCATAATAGGCTTACAGAATAGCCTTACTGTAGAAATATAATTTAATTCACATTAGTTTACTTTGCATTAGCTCTCCTGTGAACGCAATCTAATTCGCATTAGTTTAATTTGCATTAGTTTACTTCGAATTAATTTACTGCGAATTAAACTCGTGAACAGGGCATTAATCTAGTATGATATGAATCAGTAATATTATTTCTTATCAGAATAATATGCTCTTCATCCATTAGACAACAGACATGATGGTCCTGCCATTTATATATTTTTGTGATGGCAGTAGGAAAAAGTCAGACTTGGCAGTAAAATATAAAAGGCAATTTATTTAAAAAATAATATGATAGCGTTATCTTTTCATCTCAATGATCGTGAATTATTTATGTTGTTACTTTCTAACTCCATCAATTTAGAGTAGCAATCTCTTTTATGCCAGCCTGCCCAAATAAAATATGCAACTCATTCAAAAGCTAAAGAATGGTCATTTTAATATGAAGTAAATAAATGACAGTAAAACACAATGTATTTACCGAACAAATTTGTTCAAAATGTGAAGTGGTACTTAATGTAATTCATCAGTTTATACATCACATAACTAGTAAAAATATCAGTGGCACATTTTTGGCTTATTAAAGGGACTGCACCTAAAAGTATACAGTGCCTACAAAGCCTGGAAAACGGCTCCTAAGTGACATAATCATTAATCAATTAACAGCACTGGCATAATCTTTAAACAACAACATGACAGAGATTAGATTAATAAAACATACAAAACTAAACTGCATTGGTCCTTAAACAAAATATGTGTCAGTTAATATTTGGTTTGTTACTGACTGTCCAGAAAAATATGTTGGATTGTTGAAGAAGGATTAGAGCCCCCTTTAGTCTTGATCAACCAAAAACATATTTCTCTGGACAGACAGTGATAAACTTTATAACTAATTTATTTTGCCAAGGACCAATTACTGTCAACTTTTTTTTGTTTTGATTTCTCTACAGTTATCTTTGCAAATCTCTATAGCATTTCCAAATAAGTTCAAAATTATAAATATTTTGAGTTTTTTAACAAATAAATAACCTCTTTTTGTGTATTTAATAGATATTAATCCACCATGTACGGTAGCCATGTCTAAATACTTGATACTTGCTGTCCATATAAGTATAGACAGCAGCCATGATGCTGACAACTATTATCCAATGAAAGAGCGATATTTAAGTCTGAGACAAAATAAATTTCTGTAGCCAGCTAACTAACTAATAATAAACAACAGGACCAGTTGTAAAATGATAAGGTGATGAATATAACCTATGGAACTTCATTATCAAATGTTTTCTGATGCACTTTAAAACAAATGAGATTGACCCAGTTCTCATGCTTCATTCAGCTGACCAACATGTGATGAGAGTGTACTACACTCAGACTGGTACTCTCTTGTACAAAGTCTGTTGATGTTAGGAGGGCCGCAGCTCTCTCTCCTTTAAGGTAAACAAAACGGAACATTGATAGCTTGTCAGGTGAACATATATAGGGATGATATAGAATGGCATTGATAACTTGTCAGGTGTACATATATAGGGATAATATAGAATGGAATGGTTTGTTGTCAGAATAGGTGTGTCAACTCTCAAGGATCGAAGGCTAGATTTGAGATTCTAAATTGTCAGCTGTATGATTAAACTAGCTAATTCAATGGGTGCAATAAATCTTGTAAGTATAATTGACCAGAAAAGAAAAAAAAACAGAGGCAGTATCTATAGTCTTACTGATGAATTACACCTACACAAGTACATATAAATGTGTATTATGTATGTGTATACTACAGAGATGTTCTGAAATAGCTGTAATCAAGGCTTGTAGTCATGGTTAACCAAGCTGTCACCATAAGGAAGTTAAGTAGTTCTTGGGAGAGAGTTTTTGAAAGATCATGTGAATTAATTACTTTCTCTACTTCATACTTTGCCAGCTGTATACCGACTGTGCCCCAGTAGCACATTTACATAGAATATTCTGTTTACGAGGAAAAGTGGTGTGATGATTATTTAATGTGTAGCTCATTCTAGAGTTGCAGTTAATATCTATCAGTAACTTATTTTGAACACTTAGTCAAAGCTGTTGACAATTAGATTATAAGTATTCTTTATTAAAATGAACCCAATTCTGGTAGTTATAATGGCAGATCATTGGCATGCTCTACTGAAATTGAATGAATTTCCCACTGCTATTAATAGTCAAAATATTTGGAATAAATGTCCTGATAAAGTGCTATCTTTAAAAGTATAAAATCCAGCTGAACATTTCTCTTTGATGTAGGAACAATAGGGAGTTTTGGGAAATGATGGGAATTCCAGTAGTATTACATTGTCTTTTTATTGTGGTTAAGGAAGGTCCTGCTGAATTCACTGTCTTTTCTGACAGTTTATTATCATGATTATTATTCAGTTCTGAGCGTCTGAGCTATGTAGGGCTAGTCACATTGCTCTTGTAAAGGGCTGGTGAGATAGCAGGGAGTTGTGTTGCTTACAATCTGTTTTGGATGTATTTTCTGGATCAGATGAAAGACAAAATACAACTTAAATGAGTCTCCAATGTTGAGAGTCAGATAAATACACCTACGTGTTTGTGAATGACCTCTCTCTCTACAATCGCTAAGAAGGATATTGAAGTAGCATACGCTTCATTCATGGTTTGAAAGTTCATTGTATTGAAAATTCTAAGTATGCAAAGTTTAAATACCAGACCTGTAGAGGCTGAAAGATTAAAAGGCTGTGTAGTGGTTATTTAAATCGTTCAGGTGGTGGTCTTGGGAAAACTTGCTACAGTGTAAAAATTAGCTAAAGCATACAAGTCTTCTGAAATCACTTCTGAATTATGTAAGTATTATTGAAATTTAAGGAGTGGTGTATTTGCATGTGATTTGATTAGAGATGCAATTTATCATTTGTGGGGAGAAATTGTTCTATTGGACTAAGAGCTATTACATGTATAATATAAGCTGGATGTCGGCCACAAGTGTGACTTCTCCCAATATTCCTTATTGTGACTGACAATGCACTATAAACATGATATTTGTTGTTTGTGAGCGAGGAACAAATCTGCATTCCATCTTCATAATTGTTTACATCTGCCATTGGTTGGAGCTTCAAACCTATTGTTTGCACAGACATTGGGTGATATTGTGCTGGGTTATTGTACATGCAAAGCTATAGAGAGATTTGACTGAAAATCCCTTTCAGGTGAGAAGTTGTAGGAAAGTTCTGATATACAGGGTGTAAATGTGAGTCATGATTTACTGTGTATAAATGTGATTTTCATTAACAGTTACCCCATTGACAAGGAGGAAGTTAACAGAAAAATAACAACACCCTGTTGTATAAAACTGGATAAGCTGTCAGTGTGGTATATTTAGACAATCTTTTGTTTTTACTTCATATACCAAGGTTTATTTACTTACACTTTGATTGAAGGGAATGTACTGTGTTCCATGCATGGCCAGTTTGTTGGTTGAAATAGGCTGAGGTAAATAGTATTAAAATGTGTCAGCTAGTAGCTTTCTGGGCTATTACATCCATGATGTCTGAGTGATTAGCCTGAACTGTGAAGAGGTTTGAGTGACATCTTGTTTTTGTGATGTTTTGACTTGTTCATTGAGGTCATGAGACAGTTGGTACTTGTTTCGATGAGTAATTTGTTGTTTGTTTGTTAAGTGAAGAGGACATGACCTGAGTGTAAGTCCACAGAAACTGGCGAAAATTAATGGAAAATTGCTTATTCAAGTTGTGGGAATTTAAAAAAAACAGATTAATTAACACAAACCTAATATACTTGGAAACTGTTCTCAGACTGCACTGTATAACTTAAGGCACATGAAATTAGAATTTAAAATATTCAGATACCTCTCCATGCTAAATTGTCATAATTGTGCATGCCTTGTCATTCATAAAGGTTGTAAAAATGTTGAAGTATTCTGAAAATAGATTAAATGGACACGTCATTAACACTAAATATAGTCCTAAATGTCACACCTGAGTTAGAAAAGATAGTTTGTTTTTGCAATAAGTAAACGTTTTTGACCTCGTTTTTTACTCGAGCTAAGGAGGTTTTTCAGGCTGGTATTTAAACATTTACAATATTTACTTGTTTGAATGACAACAAATACAGATTTCCCAGATTTTCCAAGCAAAAAGAGTTCCTGAATGTTCTAGTTTCAATCATATATCAGCTGTTTGTGTTGAATTGAGTCGTAGTGTTCCAAGAGACAAGAGAGATTATCAATCACTGCATGCTCACTGCATATCCCTCTGTTTTGGTTTTAATCTGTTGAGGTAATAATGTGCCATGCTTCTCCTTAATTTTCACGTTATTTGTAGAATGAGTAGTAATAAAAGAATACAATATTTGTTAGCTTCTTTGATCATTATAGTATTATTATGTTTCAGCATTGTTCACAAGTTTAAAATTATTTTTCTATCAGCAGTACTTCCTTGTTTTGGTCAAATTAGGTCTATAAACAGATAGTTATTGTACACAGTGAAGAAGACACTGTAGATAAACCTTGGTAACTGGGAAATGTTTTAAAGGAAATATTTGTGTTTACAGTTGATGAGAGACCCGAGAGGACTAGTACAAGTGAGGGACAGCTTGGTGACAGAATTTGTCCTATGTCCATCTCTACTGACCGATTGCTGCAGTGTTCAGACTGAGGTAAGAACTCTTGTCACAGTGTCACAGCTCTATAATCAAAATTATACACAGTGGGGGGCATCTTTTTTAAAATGATTTACATTAGAGCCATTTAGAGGGTGCTAGGGATTTAGCATTGTATGTGGTGGATCCATTGGGGATGGAATGTGAAAGTGACAGTTCATTTCATTCTTGGATTAATATTTCTCATAAATCATACTAATGATATACTTTTTTGTAAACCATGCATCTAAGACTTGAATTATCTGAAGCAAATGAAGCCATGGAACTTAGTGGTTAATACCTAATTTGTTTTTTATGTACCTATCATGCAGTTTTGATTTTAAAAAAGAAAATCTTTTGTGATACATTATTCAGCAGAAATACTGGTGTTTACTGAAAAATTTAATTAGAGAGCTTTGGTACATTCCATATTTCTGCATTGTCATCCTAGAGCCATCATTGAATTAGGTCTGGTTCAAAGCAATAAAGCAGCAAAACTATGACAGGGCTATTGTAGACAGATAAGGGTGCATAGTTAGACTGAGTGTGTGGGAACAAGTAAGAAACAAGGTGGTCGACAAAGGAGAGTGATTAGGAGTGTATGTGAAATCAGAATCTTCCACTGCGTGAGAGACATGGGCCTATTACAGGGATTGCCTCAATGGGGATCTAACACTAGGGTGTCACCTACTTCACTAGTAATGACACAGATTAGGTAGCAGCAGGCTTTTTATAATACCTGTTATTATGTTGTTAAAACATTCTCCAAGGTTAAGAAGATGAGTTAGAATGTAACATAGGTGGGGTCTGTCTGTATTCAAATAGTGCATTGAAAAATATGACAGGATAATCTGGGAATTGAGAAGGCACTATTAATGACTTACCAATTTTGAACAGAGAACTTTTGTTGTAAGTGAAACAGTAGTTTGGGTAGATTTAAAAGAAGTCAATTTTTGTATATTTATAAATTCCATATTCGATGTATTTGATATCATTTAAATTGTTTTTCTTTTTCTCTTGCAGTTCAGAAGTGAATTTGGTCACACATATATGGAGTTTGTCACAAACAGTGGCGACTATTGCCAGGCTCAACACGTATAATTTGTAGGAGAATTAGGGAATTGTTCAGTGGCTGCCAAATTCTCGGTGCTTCACCCCTCATTTTACTATATTGTGGATCACTTTTGTTTTGTCAAACACTGATGGGGTAATTGTGCTAGCTACTGTGGGGACTTTGGATTCCACCCATTTGTCTTTCATCTAGAAAAAAAATTTCATGTACATGATGGGATTTTCCTAAATCTCGTTTTCGAGTGACTTGGAAACAAGATTTCTTGCATGTAAAATTATAAAGCACTGTCAGCTGCCCTGGAACAGCTTTATTTATTTTTCGATTTGGAGTAAAATCTCATTTGTAAATGACCGCCATGAAAGCCAGGCGCCCAGAACCCGCTGAAATCGAGTTCAAGAACATGCGTTTCTTGATCATGGATCGCCCAACTGACTCGACAATGGATAAGTTTATTGAGGTTTGTACTCATTTTCTGTGATATGATTTTACATTGTATACTTTATATGTAGATTTAAATGTTGCAGGATATCTATGTACCAGTACATGAAGTATGGTTCAAATGAATTTTCATTATTTCAGTTTTCCTCATGCATTAAAGAAAAGTTTGTTGGAGTTCTTTTAAGTTTAAGCTTATTTGATTGAGTCAGAGGCTTAAGTGGGCTCTTCTGATCAAAGTTTGTTCAGCGGATATATATCTGACTGTCTGAATGCAGTGTACATATTTAAACATATATTTGTATTGCATAAACTTTTTAATAATTTATTTTCTCCAAAATCATGAGCTGATATCATCTTGCCACAAAGCATACTTGGAAAAGAGGAGTTCTGAGCCAGATTCAATCTTGTTCAAAAGACTATGCCTTTTTCTGAGGAAAGGTTACAAATAGTAAAAATTTGGCATAGTCATTAAAAATCCTCTGTTCAGATGATGATATTGTTGAAGCTATGTTCTTGTAACGTAGAATCCACAATAGTGGAGTTTTATGCATCTTTATAATCATTTCTAAGGAAGTGAAAAATGATGACTTAGAAGAGCTTTCCGTCTCTTGGGCCTTGTTAAGCATACTAAGTTTAAATATCTTTTGCATGCGTGTAGCCGTAAAAATGAAAGGTTAATATGAATAACTTTTAACATTTATATTACAGGAATTGAAAAAGAGGAGAGTTAAAGATGTAGTTAGAGTTTGTGAACCAACTTATAAAACAGAAAAACTAGTGCAAGAGGGAATTCGTGTATTGGTGAGTTACCATGTTTACTGATTATACTAAAAGGATATGTTGATGTGTTATGTTATCCACAAAGGGAGCTCAGAATGGACCAAAAAGAAATCTTGATCCATCAATGGTTTATAACCCCTTAGCCTGTGGATTTACTAATGCAAGTTTTACTAAATCTGATAACTGATTCAGGTTTATATTGTATTATAAAATGACAACATTCTTAAAAAACTTTTATATGGAGTATGGACTATATTCAGTAGATGTAGTGTGTTTGAAGCTTAAAAAATGCATCTGTGGTGACCACAAAGTTCAACAATTTGAATGTTAACCTAAAATCCACCCTGATTCTTTTTCTAAAGTATAATAAATTTTAAAACCTATTGTGGTTAGGCCGAGGATTGTGCTGTTGTCATTGGAATAATAAGTCAGTGTGAAAGCAGTATTCATTAACCCTTAGATCATTTTACATGTAGGCTTTCCTTACTAACCTCCCCCCTCCCCCCCCCCCCCCCCCCCAAAAAAAAAAAAAAAACCCTACAAACTCGCGTAGACCTTTGAGTCAGACATGGTTCATTGGTCCATATTCAAGTTCATTCAAGCTTATAAACACTAGCATTGATCTAATATGTCATTGACCCGCATTGATTGCATGTATTTTACTGTTTTAGGTACACATATTTTAAGTGCACAATTTACCAAGGAAGTAGATTAGATTTTGTAAAGACAAGGGGATTTCAAAGACTCCAAGGAGATATAGAAGGTCACTTAAAATATGTTTCTGGGACTTTAGTTGAGATGAAAATAAACATTACAAAACCAGGGCAAGCTTATAAAACTCTCTTCCTTGTTGAGGACAAATCTTGTTTCTGTACACACAGCCATTGGTTGTCTAAGCTACCAGAGTGCAAGAGCAGTCTACATTCATTCCAGACTTGTCAAGGAGATTAAAGCATTTAACAATCACCTGTCCTTGATTAGGAATTAGGCAGATTAATTTTTTTCTTCACCTAGAACAAACTTCTGGCTCCTGGTTAGAAGCAAAAAAATTTTTTATAGGATCAGCAACCTTAATTTCAGAGTACCTATTGATCCTTTTGATACCACTGCAAGTCAAATGTAATTTCCATATTTACCATGATTGTAAATAGAGGATATTCAATGTTTTGTAGATGAATATGGAATTTATTTCATGAGTGGGACAGGATTTTTTGATTTGCGAAGCACGAGTGAAAATATCAAAAAATCCTGTCTCACGAGTGAAATAAATTCCATATTCATCTACAAAACATTGAATTTTCTGTTTATTACATTTTCTTTGATTTTCCCTTTGCCTCTGTCTTTTCTTAACACAGTGTCATAGGCTTGACGTCATAGTTGAGCGGTTGAGACGTCATAGCTTAGAAGTTGTGTGTCAGTTTGAAAACATTACATAGCATGGATTTTAGCAATATATATAGGAAGAAATTTGCAGTTTTAGCTCTATTAAGATGCTTAGTTACTATCTCTATCTTATGACAGGCCAGAAATTATTTTTTACTTACTTTGATATCCTTTCACACTGTGATAGAATATCATTTTTGGTATCCTTTCACACTGTGAGAGAATATCACTTTTATTCAATAAATAAATCACAGTATTTCACTGTTGAAAATGTAATAAAAAGGCAAAATAAGATGAAATTATCATATTTTAAGAAAGTTCATCTAAGGAAAACTTCTGTAGTGTTTTATTTTTTCTGTCCTTGGACCACAGCGCAATGTATAGGGCCACATGACTGGTGGTGATAGTGCAGTGTATAGGTTCACATGGATGGTGGTGATTGTGCAGTGTATAGGACCACATGACAGGGTTCGACACTAACGTTAGTCCATTAGTCTCAGACTAATACATTTTAATTCGGACTAATAAAATATGTGGCTAATTAGTCCGAACGGACCAATAAAAATTTCTGAAAAACAATATGAATAAATTACCGATGTCGACAACTTTTACTGGAAAACCCCACGTGTATTTTTAGATTTCTAGCTTTTGGCGGGTAGTTACGCAATGATGGGTCAATTCAGCACTTAATTTTTTGACTGATCGATATGAAGTATAAGGTTTTAGCGATCATGATTTAGTATGACACTTTTAAGAAAGATGTAGGACGTTTTGGATGTAATGTAAAGACAAAAACGAGATCGGGAATACGATCGTACTCGCTGATTGCAGGTTTCAATGAATCTGTGGAATAATATATTTCATGTAAATACTTTGTTTATTAAAAAAAAAAAAATACATATATTAATTGTCACGTTAAATCAGTGTTAAAAAACATTGATGTTTCTTTTTTTTTTTTTTCTTTGACGGACTAATAAAATCGCGTGCGGACTAGTAAAAGTAATGAAGCACTAGTCCGGCTGGACTAAAGCCTTAAAAAGTTAGTGTCAAACCCTGCATGACTGGTGGTGATAGTGCAGTGTTAGTGTATAGGGTCACATGACTGGTTGTGATAGTGCAATGTATAGAGCCACATGACTGGTGGTGATAGTGCAGTGTATAAGGACACATGACTGGTGGTGATAGTGCAGTGTATAGGGCCCTATGATATGACTGGTGGTGATAATGCAGTGTATAGGACCACATGACTGGTGGTGATAGTGCAGTGTTAGTGTATAGGGCCACATGACTGGTGGTGATAGTGCAGTGTTAGTGTATAGGGCCACATGACTGGTGGTGATAGTGCAATGTATAGGACCACATGACTGGTGGTGATAGTGCAGTGTTAGTGTATAGGGCTACATGACTGGTGGTGATAGTGCAGTGTATAAGGACACATGTCTGGTGGTGATAGTGCAGTGTATAGAGCCACATGACTGGTGGTGATAGTGCAGTATATAGGGCCCCATGACTGGTGGTGATAGTGCAGTGTATAGGGCCCCATGAATGGTGGTGATAGGGCTGTGTATAGAGCCATATGACTGGTGGTGATTTTGCAGTGTATAGGGCCCCATGACTGGTGGTAATAATGCAGTATATAGGGCCACATGACTGGTAGTGCTAGTGCAATGTATAGGGCCACATGACTGTTAGTGATAGTGCAGTGTACAGGGCCACATGACTGATGTTGATAGTGCAGTGTATAGGGCGACATGTCTGGTAGTGATAGTGCAGTGTATAGGGCCCCATGACTGTTGTTGATAGTGCTGTGTATAGAGCCACATGACTGGTGGTGATAGTGCAGTGTATAGAGCCACATGACTGGTGGTGATAGTGCAGTGTATAGAGCCACATGACTGGTGGTGATAGTGCAGTGTATAAGGACACATGACTGGTGGTGATAGTGCAGTGTATAAGGACACATGACTGGTGGTGATAGTGCAGTGTTTAAGGACATATGACTGGTGGTGATAGTGCAGTGTATAGGGCCACATGACTGGTGGTGATAGTTCAGTGTATAGGGCCATATGACTCTGGGTGATAGTGCAATGTATAGGGCCACATGACAGATTTTGATAGTGCAGTGTATAGGGCCACATGACTGGTGGTGATAGTGCTGTGTATAGAGCCACATGACTGGTGGTGATAGTGCAGTGTATAAGGACACATGACTGGTGGTGATAGTGCAGTGTATACTGAGTATTGCACTGATGGTGATAGTGTAGTGTATAGGACTATAGAGCCATTTGAAATTCAGTTATCATGTATACAAGCAACTCAGACCTTGTGGTAACAATGTGGCAATGTATAGGGTCTTGTGAAAGCAGTGGTTTATATAAGTCCTTTATATTTCTTTGTTAATTTATGTCGTAGCTGTTAGGTGATAACAAGTGAATAAGACTCTGCTTAGTCTGGGTGTCAAGTTGACTTTTGTTCTCTAAACAACACATAGTTTTGCAGATTTGGGAGACTTTAAATATACTGCAGAGAAAAAGAGGATTACTGAGGGAGAGACAAGGCCCAGTTTACCCTGTTTAACCTCAGACATTTAATTGTTTGTCAGCTTTGTACACCTGGGATTTCAACTTTTTACTCCAAAGGGAAGTTCTGATTCAAAGAATACATTGATTAAAAAGATTTCCCACAAACAGAATCTGAAACTCTGTCTGGTGTGATAACATGAAGGCAGTGAGCCTTAGCAAATTGATCTTCCAGGGTTTGAATTTCCATGGTAATGTATTAGTGTATTTTATTTTGATGCTTTTATGCAAAATATTTAACATGTACAATCAATCGATAGTAGGCAGAAAAGATGGAGTTCAGTGCTCTGAGTGATGTTGAAGGGTCATTGGACTTGAGCATAAAGAAAATGTTATGGGGGTCTGACAGCTGTAGTTTTATGTTTTTCTGTATTCAACACCAGTTGTAAGAATTGTAAGGAATAACTATGAATTCTTTGCATAAAGGTTTTGTTGTCTTTAGAACAATTGATGCGTATAAATTCCAGGTCATTGACTATAATTTTCAATTCTTCTATTTTGTGTTTATTACATTTGGAGGACCTCTAAACATGATATCCTAAATGACAATTATATATTTGAACTTTGGTATCTCGAACATTGAAATATCGAGTACCATGGATATGTCGAAGTGATTTTGAAGTAAAAAACACTTATTCCTAAAGATTTTTTTTACCCTGGATATCTCAAATCCTCATTATCTCGAAGTGTTTTCTTGGTCCCATCAAGTTGGAGATAACGAGGTTTGATTGTATGTATCAGAGAACCTCTTTTATGTACATGAATGTACTGGAGTACAGCCCTATTGAGACTTAATAGTCCTGATGAGTAGTAATTATTACTTTACTTCTGATTGTAGGACTGGCAGTTTGATGATGGTAATCCACCCCCTGGAGAAGTGGTTGATGAATGGTTCAATCTGCTCAAGACCCGCTTCAAAGAGGAACCAGGCTGTTGTGTGGCCGTTCATTGCGTGGCTGGACTTGGGAGGTAAGCTTGTGATGTAGATGTGAGGTAAGCTTGTGCTGTAGATGTAAGGTAAGCCTGTGATGTAGATGTGAGGTAAGCTTGTGCTGTAGATGTGAGGTAAGCTTGTGATGTAGATGTGAGGTAAGCTTGTGCTGTAGATGTGAGGTAAGCTTGTGATGTAGATAAGAGGTAAGCTTGTGCTGTAGATAAGAGGTAAGCTTGTGATGTAGATGTGAGGTAAGCTTGTGATGTAGATGTGAGGTAAGCTTGTGATGTAGATAAGAGGTAAGCTTGTGATGTAGATGTGAGGTAAGCTTGTGATGTAGATAAGAGGTAAGCTTGTGATGTAGATGTGAGGTAAGCCTGTGCTGTAGATGTGAGGTAAGCTTGTGATGTAGATGTGAGGAAAGCTTGTGATGTACCGGTAGATAAGAGGTAAGCTTGTGATGTAGATGTGAGGTAAGCTTGTGCTGAAGATAAGAGTTAAGCTTGTGATGTAGATGTGAGGTAAGCTTGTGATGTAGATGTGAGGTAAGCCTGTGATGTAGATAAGAGGTAAGCTTGTGATGTAGATGTGAGGTAAGCTTGTGCTGTAGATGTGAGGTAAGCTTGTGATTTAGATGTGAGGTAAGCTTGTGCTGTAGATGGGAGGTAAGCTTGTGCTGTAGATATAGAGGATGGTTTTAAGTTTAAGCAGATGTGTGGAAAATTGATGTGTTCTTAACCCCAAATAATGGAGAAAAAAAAATATTGTGATAAATAGATATTAATCATTAAAAACCTATTGTGTCTCTGTAGACATGTCATGAATGTAGACATAATTATGATGTGTTATACATTTCTTTTGCAGGGCACCAGTCCTAGTAGCCCTTGCACTGATTGAATGTGGAATGAAGTATGAAGATGCAGTTGAATTAATCAGAGAGTAAGCTTTAATGTATTTGACTAATACTATCTTGAAATTCAGTAGTTTTGAATACTTTTTGATCACTTGTGTGACTCAGGTGAACTCTTCCTATTTTCATCAGTACTGGTCTGGTATGTACCATGAGTAAAAAAAAAAAAGAACAAAAAAAAGAGTGACAGTCTTCTGTGGAATCATTAGAATTCATGGGGGCAAATTTTCGTGGATTACAGGTTCGTGGGACATAATTTCATGTACTCTCTTATACCTACAAGAAGGATATATGACTTTGTAACCCTAGTTTATTAATTTGTGGAGGATGTTAATTTGTGGATGAGAGGTACCCATGAATTCCACGAAAATGGAGCCACCACAAAATCTAATGATTCCACAGTATTCCTTATGCCAGAGGTATGGGATTAAAACATTGAAATAAATGTTTACCATAAAAAAAATCTTCTTTACTCTTGGATAACTTGATAGACAAACAGATTGTATATCTATAATGTTGAAGGAGCTGCCTTAGAACCAAAGTTTTGGAATCCTAACCCCTTTTATCATGAATATAGGGCTTTATTTCATTTCCCAAAGATTCGTGTAAGATAAAAAAAAAAACCCACTAACTTCTTCTTGCCTAGATTTTTGATTGCTATATAAACTACTACTAGATAAGCTGATGGCTTATTCATAAGGAGCTATTATTTCTACACTGAATAATTTTCACATTTCCTCCTAGTCATTGGTCCAGGCCTCAGGTTGAGCTTAGTTGTATAATGGTGAAAATCATTAAATGTATTGATCTTTGAGAAATCTTTTTTGGACCTGGGTATATGGAAGACAGATCATTTAGATGCCTTTGAGAGTAACGAATCTCCAACCAAACTTCTTTTTATTTTGGTTTCAAAGTCCATCTACTTTCCCCGAGGTAAGGTCTAAAAGAATGCATTAAAAATCTTCTTCATGGAAAACATAATATGGTTTACTTGATTATATGCACTGTTGTCCTCCTAAAAAATGTGAAAGTCATTTACATTAAGTGTATAGTGTTCATGCCCCAAGGTGACCATACTTATTCTTGATAATATGAAAAAAAAACTGAGTCTCTGCTAAGCTTATAACATGTGAAGCTTACGTATGACACAAAGGTTGATTATGCCTGCTCTAGGGTATTCGGATGACCTTTTAAGTTTATTGCTGTGACCTGTATGATGATACTATTGAGTTGCCCATATGAGAATTTATAATATATAAAAAATGTATTTGTGTAAACTTTTCATTTTTGAGAACTTTAATTTAGTGTAATCGGAGGCTCTGCTCCAGAAAATTTCATTCTAATGACTTGCATTTATTTGTATTCCTCAAGATTTTATACAACAATAATCAACTTCATAAAAATTTTGTCTGGCTTATAAAGACCAAATAAATATCTCCTGGAATATGGTGTCATGAAAATTTGGTGATCAACAGTAATAACATTGCTCTAAACATAAAAGATTTCCATGTGATTTGTAGAAAGAGACGGGGAGCTATCAATGCCAAGCAGTTAATGTTTCTGGAACACTACCGTCCAAAGTCTCGATTGAAGCAGCGTGGTAATGGACATAAGCAATGCTGTGTAATGTAGCTCTATCAATTTGGAAAGCTTGTCTTTAGTAGCAGCCATCATCAATTAATTCTTTTATTTCATACTAAACATGCTGAATTTGTGATATGTACATCTTTTAAAAAAAAAAATTGAAGTATTTTTTGTTGATATTCCAATTGTTTCATGTTGTAATTATTTAAATTATCCAGTTTAGTGTGTTATTCAGTGTTCTGTACATGAAATGCCATAAATGAATTGGAATGTGTATAAAATATCCAGCTTTTACTTTTGTAATCTGTTAGAAGAATTTCTATTTGTCGAGCCATTGGGATAACTTTATTTTGCTCAGTTATATCATTTGACCATTTGTCTGAGAAAATTGACAAGCTTACAGTACCATCCCCCACCCCTCACCCAAATTAAAAAGGGAATTTTTTTGACACATGGTGTGTTGGAGTCAGCTGTTTTACAAACATTATTTGTTTGCGATATTGTCAAGTCCAGTAAACTACATACTTGCCATGCAGTGTTTAAGATGTAGAATTGTGTTCAAGAAATATAAATTATTACCACACATAAGTATCACACAACTCATTTAGTTAACACTGCTATGTATGTGTACACAGATATCTGTCATGTTCTCTCTGTCATCTCTTATATTCAGAGGAGGATTTCATTGTCCATATAAACTGTAATAAGGCTTTTAAATCATTTTGGTGATTGGTTTTTAGTCTCCAAATCTTTTTGTTATTCATTGTAATGACTTTTTGAAGATAAATCTGCTGCCATTGTGCTATTTTAAAATTGTATTTTTATTTGAATGGATTGTAAAATATATTTTTGATTCAAAACATTTAATTTTCTAATACCTATACATCATAATATCAACAAATATATGGAGATGGGTGAAACCAATAGTTGTTAAAAAAAACAACATATAATTAGACCTATGGTTTGTTGAATACATGGATCATATATTTTCATGGAATACAGAAGTAGGTTATCTCCCATCAGACCTCACAGTTTTAATACAACATTGCAGTGGAGGAGATCACTCATAGCATTGGACTTTGTATTGGTGCTTCCCCCTCCTAAAATCTTATGTTTGTCAGAAATGTAACTTTTAATGTTTTACTATGGCCCTTGGTATTTAATAGGTTATGAATGCCTTTATTATATATTTTTTCATTTGCATCATTACTATTGGTGTACATATATATATAAGTTATCAGTATGTATGTTAAGGGCAATAAAAATTAATTTCAAAATTGAAAATGGCATTCTTTTCAATAAAGCTAAATGGAGGGAGAACAGAGTAATAGATTACTCTGTTCTGTTAGGTACAGTAGTTTGGTGTACAGACTTGTATAGTGTCATGCCACAGCAGGCAAGGTATCATCGAGGAGAACTGTAATGTAGGTGGACAGATGAGGATAATACCATGCTACAGCAGGCAAGGTACCATCCACTAGTACTGTAGTGGACAGTCTAGGATAATATCAGGCTTAGCTACAGCAGGCAAGATACCATCCACAAGTACTTTAGTGTAGGTGGACATACTATGCCATTACTAGGGTAATATTGCACCACAGCTGACAAGGTACCAACCACAAGGACTGTAATGTAGGTGGACAGACTAGGATAATATCACAATACAGCAGGCAAGGTACCATCCACAAGGACTGTAATGCAGGTGGACAGACTAGGATAATATCACAATACAGCAGGCAAGGTACCATCAACAAGTACTGTAGTGGCCAGTCTAGGATAATATCATGCTTAGCTACAGCAGACAAGGTAGCATCCCCAAATACTGTAGGTGTAGGTGGACACGCTAGGATAATATCACAATACAGCAGGCAAAGTACCATCCACAAGTACTGATTGATTGATTGCATGTTGTTTTACAGCTTCGCTAGCCAAGGGTTTTCGGTCCACTCCACTATCCATTACGGGGAGCGGAGTGGACCGAAAACCCATGGCTAGCGAAGATGGGAGTTAATTGACCTTAACTGTAAAGACATTGTTACACCAACCAGGAGTTGATTGACCTTTACTGTAGAGACATTGTTACACCAACCAGGAGTTGATTGACCTTTACTGTAAAGACATTGTTACACCAACCAGGAGTTGATTGACCTTTACTGTAGAGACATTGTTACACCAACCAGGAGTTGATTGACCTTTACTGTAAAGACATTGTTACACAGTTGACCCATCAGGAGTTTCCTGACCTGCCTTCACTGTAAAGACAATGTTACACCCATCAATTGTAGTCAATCCTACACTGTAAGGACACGATACGCCCACCATAAATTGAGTGACATACACCATCGAGAGCGAGCTTCTCAGAAATGACCCCCCCCCCCCCCCCGGAAAAAAATCTAACGCTCATGAAAATGTTATACCCAATCCTAGGGGAAGGAGGGATAACTTCAGTTAATTTCAGATAACTTTATTAATAATAGAGTCGTTCAAAAATCATCTTTAAAATGGGAAAAAAAGTTTACCGGGGGAGGGGGGGGGGCATAAGTCCCCATTTGTAAATTAAAGATTAAAGAACGCTGTTTTAAGCATATACATGTACATGTAATTATTAGTATTCAATCAACACCTATACCATAGGAACCAGGGGGCACAGGGCACTTCCCCAATTATTTTTCTAGTCTAAATTTCACAATCCACTCAAAAAATACAGAAATAAAGTTGGTTGACCTTATTTTTGTTTGCTTGTCAAGAATTTTCGTTAGGTTGAGCCCCTCCCCTCCCTCCCCCCCCCCCCCCCCCCCCAATTGAAAATGTATTATTTCGGGGATTTTCACTTTGCCCGGTCTCATTAACGTTTAGTCTACTTAAATGTTTTTCCGGTGTGTTGCTAGCTTAGAGCAGACGAAATGGTAGCACACATAAAAATCTGCAATTTGATAGGTAAGATTTGCTCTGTCGCCTTAAGTTAAACCTTGAAACAGAGAGTGGATTATTATGCCTAGAAAGAAACAAAGTCGTAGGTAGATCATATATCTACAGTTTTTGTTGACGATTGTCGGATTCGTCTGACTTTTAAGAGCATTAAGTATAAGAGGATTCTATAATGGTGACCGATTTCTAGGCAGTGCCTGCTATTGCATATTCTTGAAGTTGTGTAGATCGGATGTGGATTCTCAAAAACTCCAAAGAACTTTGAAAGAAATTAAAATCACCAAATCTTTCAAAAGTCAGTAACGTACGTGTCCCCTAGTACCCAAAATCCATCACCAAAAGCGGAAAACACTCCACGTTACTTTTTGATCTGTTTCTTGTTTGCTACACATATTAATGAACTTCAAAATTGTTTTTAGTATATTTACAAAAAAGTGCAGTTATTGGGCTTATATAACACCACAAAATAGAACGTGTATCACATCCGTGTTTATTACGTCCAATGAACCTATCTCCGTCACCAAGGGCTTTCTACTACAATACTAGTATGTATTTTAAAATACATTTTTTCCCAGTTTATTTTTTTTTGTCCCTTTTTCTTAAATTTGTACACATAAAATATAGTTTTTAAGATTTAAAATAGTATTAAATTCTGTTTTAAGAAAACTATCAACAATAGAAAAAATAACATTATTAAACGTATTTTATACTTTAGGAATGACTCTAATTCTTGGCCAAATTATTCGAGTATAACCTGGTTTGGGTCAGTTTACGCTTTATATCCGCGAAGCGCATAAAGGAAAAGGTACTTACTGATTTCACATACAGTATGATAGATACAATAGATTAAATGTAATTGTTATTTGTTTTTTACGCATTCTTGAACTTGACTCTTATAATATCTCGGCATCAGAGGCACTCTGATTATACACACAAGTACATGTACTTGATATTTTCTATTTTATTTTCTTTTATTTATATTTTAATCCTTTTAAAGATGCCGGAGGTCCTCATTGACAACATCTGTGTAGTCTTTGGAGACCATGTCTTCCAACAAATTGTTGCAATTTCGATGGGCACTAATTGTGCTCCTTTATTAGCCGACCTATTCTTATATTCATATGACAGATAAGTTGATATTAAAGGGATTTCAACATCCTTATTTAAAGTCAGCATTTCGTAAATTCTATGGTTGTTGTAATGACCTTGTTAGCAAATATAACATAATTGGGTCGTATTTTGGCTGACGTGTTTCATACCAATTGTTGGGCATTTTGTTTTAATACTAAATTTTATCACGGAATATTCTGTCTTCCTGATCAATACATAGGGTTCACGGCGGGTGTGACCGGTCGACAGGGGATGCTTACTTCTCCTAGCACCTGATCCCACGTCTGGAATTTCCAGGGGTCCGTGTTTAATGCCCTCTTCACATATTTGTATTGGTTATCTTCACCTTTTCCATACTGATGTTTTGATTAAGACTTCATGCCGATTATAATATAAATTGTAAAAAAGACATTTTTTGCAATGCTTTTCAGGAATATCCTGTGTGCTAGTGGTGTGCTTAGTCATAAATATTTCTGCTGTTAGTGAAGAAACTGAGAGCCAGGTAAACACTTTGTTCTTGCCATATTGGACTTTAATTCATATATTTCGTAAACCAGAGTTACCCTCCCCTCCTCATTTTTATTTTTTTTATCGTTTAAAGTCTATCCCACGGTACTAACGTCATCACTTTTTGCAGATCACATTTCAAAATACTTGTACCTACAGTGGCTTTCCAACTAAATCATTTAGGGCATTGGCACTGCGGGCGCGGCAAATTCAATGTCTACGGGAATTGTAAAACATTGCAAAAATAGTCGCTATTTCGACTGGGAAATGGGTCCAGCATTATTGAGATTTTCCGTTTCTTGCTGCCAGTATCGTAAAAAATTCTTTGCTATCGTAAAAAAATGATGTAGAATCGCTTACGTGTGACAGACTCTACACAATAACTTTCTCATTTTACTACACTATCCATTAAGTGACTAAATGTTACTAAGCACGAGGTCCTGCGTGAACATTTTGTTGTTGTGAGTTATTGAAAATGAAGTAAGCTTTAATTAAATATCATTTTATTTGGTAGAAAGTGGAAACAGCAGTTGAGAAGCGTAAGTAAAAATACTTATTTCAATGCATGGAAATATATAGTTATTTTTTTGAATCTATATCTATATTACAATATAATTATTATCATCTCATATCCTGTTTTCAACTGTATTGTATGTTTGACCAATTTTTTTTCCAAATCTGCTTTATATGGAGAGTTCTCTTTTAGTATCAGAGAGTGCGAATTTTTATAAAAGGTTAGTTTTAGGTTATATTTTGGATTTTTTAACTGTAATACTTTGTGAATGTGTCATAGAAAAATATTTTTATTAAAAAGTCGAAGAACTCGGGGGGGGGGGGGGGGTTGTCCCGTCCCCAAGCACCTGTGCGCGCCACGACATAATTCTCGGCTCCTAAACTCGGAAAAATATATAACAAATACATGTACCTATGTTGTGAAGATACCATCCTAAGATGATGGCATATAAACAAAGTGAACATAAAACTGTAATTTGGATTTTATTATTTCATTAACATACATATATGTAATCATTATTCATATTTTATAAAAGTTTGCAATAAATCAAAGATAACATGTAAATAGCTATAGGTCGAAAATACAATACGCCAGGAAACCTGAATATTCTTGAAAGGATTTGATATATAATAGAAGTTATCTTTCTTGGTATGCTAAATTTTTGTTCGTATCAAGCAATTGGACAAGATGATAAACTAAAACTTCTCCAGAAAAGGTCTGTTGAACCAATCAAGCATGGAAAGAAACACAACAAACAACACAAAAAGAAACACAGGAAAAAACACACGAGGAAGAATGATGTTCCCCAGAATGTCACCACTGCAACAGGAACTACTACAAATGATACGGTACAGAAAATCAGACTTTGTTGTTATAATTTACATTGTGTTATTATATATACATGTATATGTCTGGTACCCCATTAATTAATGTAGATTATAATTTAGAGGGAGAGATTAAGTCTTTTTACCAATGGTCTTAACTTTTGTATGTGTAAAGTATGGAGTATTCCACCCGAAAAACCGAGAACATTAATTACAGGCAGCAAATTAATTTGATCTCACCCAGCCGATGAGATTTTTTTTCCCAGGGCTTCAATAATTTACAACCAATTGAAAAACAAAAACAAGGAACATTGTACGTCCAGAACGTTCCTTGGAGTGTTTTTTTAAAATTATTCAACCACACACCACTTCTCATATCTTTTTGACAAAGTATTGATTTCTATTCTAAGCAATTAATTAAATGTGAATATTAAATATCTGTTAATGATTACAACTATTCTTTCTCTTGTTTCTTTGTTTATTCACATATACAGTGCTGGGAAGCCTGGTTCTACTCTCGTAAACTAGTGACAGCTTCCTTGTTTTCATGCCCTTTTTGTACCATATTATAATGAAACTCATCGGCATCTCTAACATCAACTCTATTAAGCCCTTTGTTATTTGATCAGACGACGTGTCTACGACATCTCCTTGTCAATACAAGGAGACAGTATATGCCAACATCAATCCCTACCGATTTTACTTTAAGATTTATAAAGTTTGCTGGGTCCTTAATCATATATAATAAATGAATTGTAGGATGACCTTTATGAAAAAAAAATGTGTGAGCGTATATCTCTAAATTCTAGCAATAACCCTTTTAGAAAAAAAAAAGCCAAGAAACACTAAGGTAATCAGATAATGATTATCTTATAGGAAGATTCTATATATGCTAACAAGAAAACGGATGTCAACCAGAAAGCCATGGTAGTGGGAGAAGAAAAGGGACCTAAAGCGAAACCCAGCAAAGTGAATCCCGCAGAAGTGGCCGACAATGACCTTAAGACGGGGGTCATCATTACAATAATCATTGTCATCATTGCTTTCCTTGGATGTGGCGCTGTAATGTGGGGGGTAAGCGTAAAGCTCTTAAAATCTTTTCAAGTTTAGTAACTAGTAACATGTATATATATATATATATATATATATATATATATATATATATATATATATATATATATATATATATAAGATAAGATAAGATTTAATGATCCCAATTTGGGGCCCCTCAGGGCATACAAGTAAAGAATTATATACACAAGAAGAAATTCAAAATTGATAGTAACAACATGTCGATATTAAGAGAAAAGAAAAGAAACTAACTAAAGAAGATGATGATGATTATAGCAGATGGGGATTACCAATAATAAATGCTTTAAAATATATATATATATATATATATATATATATATATATATATATATATATATATATATATATATATATATATATATATATATATATATATATATAATTAGCAAACGTACAAAGATTTGTAACATGTATATTTGTACTAGAGTATTAATAATTTAATATTATTACTCTTTTGCATTTATTTGGTTCTTTTTAACATTATATAATTCACTATTTCTTATTTTAAAAATATTGATTAGAAAATTACCCAACTTGATAAGCAATATATCATTCTCATTAGACATAATCCACAAAAATTTTTCTTTATTTGTTAAACAATAAAATTTTTTATTATTTTTAGCATATATATATATATATATATATATATATATATATATATATATATATATATATATATATATATATATATATATATATATATCGTCCTTTTGACGTTTCATTAAGTATATCAAATAAAATCTGCATGTTGATATCAACATTTGTACATGGCAATATTGGACTACTAGTATATATACGTAAGTAGCTTGATGTTGCTTTTCACAAAATCTTTCAAAGAATACCAGGATATCTGACCATTAAATTAAAGTTGACCTACTGTTTAAATTCAAATCTGCCTTTTATTCTTTGAACGTTATAGTATACAGGTTTGACGTTTACCATGTAAATTAAAAAGTTACTGTCCTAGGTCTCTTGATATATAAAGCAAGAACAAATACACTTACAGACCGTTAGAGAGGCGCTTTGTTACATAGAAAAAGCATTCTTGACCAATTTCTTTTTTTGTTTGAACAGAGACGAGAACAGATAAAGGGAATCTTGTCCAGCGTGAAGGATAAAGTAAAAAAAGAGAAAGGAGAAGATTAAACTGTTAATCTATGCTCAAGATTAAACTATTAATCTATGCTCAAGATTAAACTGTTAATCTATGCTCAAGATTAAACTGTTAATCCATGCTCATAATGTCAATATCCATAATTGTGTTTCAGAAATTTACTTACAGTAAAATTTAAGTTTTTGGCCTTTTTTAAACAACTCCTGGATAAAAGTCGAATTTTAATGATTACTTAAACCCTATCAATTATCATGAAAGTAACTTGGCCCGTCCATAGTTAGTCTATTAAATCATACAGAGCATGTAACTTATGGTGTACGATAGAACTTTCTAAAGAAAAGATAGATACATCTTTTGTTTTGATCTGTTACTGTAATGTGTTCAAAATGAACAAAATGCATTACTATTTAATTCTTTACAAATATGGATGTGGATTTCACATATTTTGAGGCAAATAAATTTTTTTCGCCTATTTTCCATCTTATTTGGATTTTTTTTCATCATATCACCTCTAGGAAAAGATCGGGGTTGGTGTAAAGACGAATTATGACCCCCGTAGAAAAATGACCTGAGGTCATTTTTTGACGTTGAAAAGTGACCCCCAGCCGCAGAAAAGTATTTTTTTTTTTGTAGAAAAAGAACCCTAGGGGTCAGTTTTCTATCTGTGCAATAAGAAATTGACCCCCGTTGAAAAATAACCCCACACCAACAGAGTGATACAAAGTTTAAAAGAGGTGATTGAGGACAAGGTTTGGGTCTCAACGTTTAATTCTCATGCGTTTTATTTTTCATGCGTTTTGCTATAACGAACACAGGAAGTACACGCGATTAAAATGTAATATAACAGCATCATGTGTTCAGATCTATTATACCTATTTGGATATTTTACTACAGAAAGACACTAGTAACAAAATAACAATAAAACTTTATGATAAACGTGATGACTTCAACGTTTCTATCGTCAACTTCCCTTATTTATGCTGCAATATATCATTATGACCTGCATACGGAGTTTATTTCTCCCAATTGATTTGATACACAAGAGCATGTTCTACATACGAACATTTTCTAAAACGAGGCAAGCTATCAACAAATGAGTTGATGTAACAAGGACATCGACAGTCTCATTTAGAGTCAACATTTCGTAAATTCTATAGTCGATACAATGGCCTTGTTAGCAAATACAATTAAACGTTAAGTCGAATGTTGACTGACGTTTTTCATACAAATTGTTAGGCCGTTATTTTGACACTAACATGTCTTTTGATTTTTCCGTTTGCTCTATCATGACAATGAGCATACAGCCAGTGTGACCGGTCGACAGGGGATGCTTACACCTACATGGCACCTGATCTAATCTCTTACGATTTTAGAGGTCCATTATTGCTCTGCTAACATGTTTTTCAATGGACTTTTGAGCTTGATTACTGCTTGAATCTTCAAATTTCACCTATTGTGTTTTTTTTCAGCACACAATAAAAATAATAGATCCGTCACAGTGGCTTTTGGTTAAACACTTTTATCTGAATCTTTCTTCATAATTTGGATATTTTACTAATTATAGACGGTTATGACCAACTAAGATCTAAACTGTATGACGAATGGGAGGACTTCCGAGATGGCTTTTCATTGCTAACTCCTTAACATGTATTTATGTAGTAATGTTCCACTATCACCTGCATGTGGTGTTTAAGTCTCCTAACTGAAACACAATTCTAACTGAAGTACTACACAGATTTAATGAAGAGTGTGGAAGAGCTTGATAAAGATTTATCCAAGGCTGACCAAGCAATTGTCGAACATTTTGCAAGAAAAAAGCACATAAGAATCGCAGATGGATCGCCATCGGGATGGAAAACTGCCCAAGAATACCAATTCAACGACATTGCTGAAAATTCTAATGATGAAAAACGAATCAGAAGTGTGTAAAACAGAGTCCTTAGGTAGAAAAGACAAAGGAAGATTTCAGCCCTATTCAAAACCAGCCACAGCGGCCACGGCTGGTTCTCCTGCTCAGCTGTTTTCTTATGGGTTTCAACAGCAGAATAATCTCCCGCAATCAACTTTCTGCAGCCCATGTGTTTGGGTAGCAGACGCATCCCGCAACCCAGTGACGTCTGCTATAGATGCTTTCAGAACGGACACTGGAAATCAGTTCAGTACAGCAGCACTCTTCACCTCTAAAAGAAGTGAATGTTTAAGTATTTAGTCAGTTTTGACGTGTTCAACCAATACAGTGATAGCGAAATCTTATTGAAGATGCTGAAGATTGTCTAAATTCATGCAGATCAGAGATTCATAAAAGAATAAAGAAAAGTTTGTCAAATCATTTAGATTTCTGGAAACGAATAGGCACATGATCACAGTTTAAGAATAATTAAGCACAGTTTTATCAAAATAATTTTGAACAAAATCCAATAAAAAGTTGAATAAAATCTACATAGGCTAATTTTTTGTTTCAGATACCATTGCTGCATCTAATTCTAGATCTAAGTATTTTGAAAAAGTATGTAAAGAAAGAAAGATAAAATTTGAAGATTACAAAACAGCATTGCACTATCTTAAGAAAAAAATGTTTTCGTATAAAGTTTGATATTAAGTCGGACTACCATCACATTGAGAGTAAAGAATGCCAAATATTTTAGGTTTTCAGTGAGAAAGATAAATGTTATTGTTTTACTGTTCTGCCTTTTGGCCTTTCAATCGCACCTTTTGTCCTTACAAAGTAACTTATGGTTAGATGCTGGAGAGCGTGTAATATTAGAAAAGGATTATACTTATATGATGTTTATAGCTGTGGCTCAGACTTATGAAAAATGTGAAAGTATTTCAAATTCTAACAGAAGTCCTTGAAAGATGCAGGCATGTTTATCAACTTTAGCAAATCTGTTTTAAAATCAGTGCAAGAAATTGATTGACTGGACATACATTGGAATTCAATAAAATATTAATATTCCAGAAGGAAGGATACAAGGCGTAGAAGAGACGCTAGCAAGCTTTACTTCTACTTTATCTCATGTTTCAGCAAGATTCTGGCAAAAGCTGCAGGGAAAATGGTGTCATTTCATTCTGTTTTAGGAAACATTTGCAGAATAATGACTAGATTTTGTTATATGGAGATAGTTTTATGAGAATTTTGGGATGGCAGAAGACCAAAAATAAGAATTCAATGGTTATATTTACATTCTCTAATTTTCTCTCTTCATTAAGTTAATTTCATTCATCTCTTTTTTCATTTTAGCATCTTTCAGAACTGGTGAGGTTAATAAACGTAAGAGCCGTTATGACGTGGAAAGTAAAAAAAAACAAAAAAACCCGCACATGTTCGAATACTGTGAAGAAAAAATGAAAGATTACTTTAAACGTATAATTGTTATATTTTTACAACAAATAAATAACTTGTTTTTTCATTAAATGAGCCAATATAGTGTATATTTCTGCGTTCCTGTTGTATTGAATGTGTATGCAATTTCTACCACACCGAAATAAGGTCTCGTGTGTGTTAAAGGGGATTGAATGTTGTAGATTTCTAATCGGTTTCATAAAGATAATAACACTGAATCCAAATATTTCAAATTTAGATAACCGTGTTCCACGATAAGTAAAAGCAAATTTTATCGTTCCTGAGTTATCTTTTTTTCCCTTTCTTATTTAACCATGCATTGGTGTTTTTCTTGGTTCGTTTGTCCACTTTCTTTGTTACACATTAATTTCCTGTGAACCAAAGGAAGAAAGTAGACATGCTTTCTGCAACTTGGCTTCGAAAGAGATATAATTCTGGTTAAACACGACTACAATTACTTTTATAAACATTGAAAATTGTTAAATTTGTTCACATGAGTGAACAGACAAAACCACAGACCAACAGTGTGATACGAGGAGTCCTATATATCCCGAAGGCAAATAGAATAAAGATCTTAAGCATCAAACGTTTACAAGCATCAAAATGGTCGGAAATTGATTTTCGCCGATTTTGTAGCTCGGTTTAAGTAAGAACATTCCTAGTCCCTTTTCCCAAGAAAGCATTGAAAATGTTCCATTTTAATACTTCCGTATTATTTTTTCCCAAAAATCAATAACATCAACAAAACGCATGAATTTTCCACATTAATTTTATACAACAATTTCACGCGATAAATTAAATAGCAGACTTATTGACATCATAGAAAACTGCTTCTTCAATAAGAATAGAACTCGGAAATTTTCATATCTGGTGATTATCTGAAAATTACATTGTTAATAACCATTCTTATTTTGCACACAAGTACTATTAAAAAGATGCTGAAATTCCTCATTGACAATACATCTGTAATTTAAGCCGACTATTTTTATTTTCTTAAGAAGCGGAACAAGAGGCCCATAGGCTACAACGCTCAACTGAGCAACTTTAGCACTACTGTTCTTCAGAAGATTCATTTAAAAAGATTTTTATATTCCCATGAAAAATTGTAACCCATATTATGGCCCCAACCTAACTCTTAGTGATCTCTGAATCCATAAAACATTGTAATGCTACAATAACAATATAACTAACATGACCTTACATGCTTGTATTCGTGCATTATGTAAAATTTGATCCTAATTTTAGCCAACTCTAACCCGGGGTCCATAGTTTGAAGGAAAAATAATGAATCCACACAACTAGGGAATGTTTGCAAATTAATGGTTCTGATGTAGCCAGGATTTGAACAAATTAGAATCTATGCTTCCTCAGGAAGTATTCACGAAAGTTTCATCTTTTTCAGGCCCAGTGGTTCTTGAGATGAAGGTTTTTTTCTTTCTCTCTCTCTTTTTAAAAGGTTTTCACTTTATATTTCAGTTTCAAACTTTGATCCCTTATTGTGGCCCCACCCTACCCCTGGGGACCATGATTTGAACAATTTTAATTCTTCAGAATGCCTTCACGTTAGTTTTATTTTTCAGGTCCGATGGTTCTTTGGAAGTTTTTAAAAAGATTTTCCCTTTATATTTCAATGTAAAACTCTGATCCCTTATTGAGTCCCGAACTAACCCCAGGGGCCATGGTTTTGAACAATTTCAAATCTTAACTGCATCAGAATGCTTTCATTTAAGTTTCAACTTTTATTTTAGAAGTTTTTTTTAAGGAAGCTCTAAACACTAACAAAAAGTGCTTTTTGGACTTGGAGAAAAATATATCATATAAAGGTGTGCATATTGAGTCTATTTAGTTCAACATAGGGTACCTGCCTTATTTCCTTAGGAAAAATGTTCAAAGACAATGGAATATTCGTGAGCAGAAATCACTGTTGTTTACTTACATTAGGAAAATTGATGGAAAAAATGAATTCAATTACTTATTCTTGGTCTAATATAATGCTAGGAATATTCTGATCTATTACAAATTCTGTAATTAACTGTAAATAACCGTTTTTTCTATCTTACTTCTAAGGGCAGATCACTCGAACTGCATAAAACTACCCTATAAGTAGAAATCTTTAGTGTGCAGTGTTT